GCAGGTCGGGCGGCGGCAGTGCGCCGTGCTTGGTGCACAGCCGCCGCCCGTAGTGCAGCAGCAGCTTGGAGTGGATCGGCGTCTCCTCTGCGGCGCACGGCGGGCAGCAGGCGGCCGTGAGAGCAATGGGTTGTTGGCAACGGCGGGGAAGCGGGTGGGAGCGGAGGCAGCTAGTCGGCCAGCTGTGCAGCGCTTCTATGATGGGGAGCTCAAACATGGTGCACAGGCGGTGACGCCAACCCACCCAGGTTCACAAGCAGCCCCGACGCCTGTGCCCAACTCCATGCCTTGCCCCCCACACCCCACCCCCACCCCCACCCCACCAGTCTTGGAGGCCAGGAAGAGGCAGGCCGGGGCCAGCAGGCGCGGGTCGGCCACCCCAAAGTCGTTGCGCAGGTAGAACTTGCGCCAGTAGACGGCGGCGGTGCCCACCAGGCGCTGGCGCAGCAGCGGCTCCCCCTCCACCACCGTGCTGCGGGCCAGCTGCTGCATGTCTGCGGGGGCACGAGGCAGGGAGGGGCGGGAGAGGGGACACAGGTGGGGGGCCGCTAAAGCGCTACCAGGGGGTGGACGCGGGCAGGGGCAACGGCACGTCGTGCGCGGTGTGATGATCAGGCAAGCGCAGGGGTTGCGCACATGCGACGAAGTGGGCATGGAGGTCGGCGATCTGCCTATCGCTCAGCCCCGCCGCCTTGTCGGCGGCGTGCGCCTGCCGCAGCTGTTCGCGCCCCACCAGCGCCTTGCTGCGGGTGCAGGCAGGGGCCAGCGAGCAGGGGAGTTGGGATGCGATGCATCGAGCCGGGCAAAGCAGCAGACCAGGGGGCCGAGTCCCGGACCGGCTGACTCACGCTTGGGGCGAGAGCCAAAAGTTGGCTGCCATTGCACCAGGGAAGCCTCTCCAACCGCGACCAGAGCTCGCTGCCGCGTGCGTGCAGGCGGCGACCGGCGGCGGCGCCGGCGGGGCTGCTCGCGGATGCCCTGCGCCGCAGAATGATGCAATACGCGCACTGCTGTGTTGACTGCAGTGAGCTGAAGGCTCAAATCCAGCGCCAGCAGCACAGCAGCAGCGGGATGGCGGCCAGGGCGCAGAGCTCTGCGGCTTTAAGCTGCCTGAAACGAATGGGGCCCGATGTGCACGAGTATAGCGGCGATAATGAGCCTATAGCCTCGGGCGAGCACCACAGCAGGCAACGCAGGGGCGCCAGGGAGGAGAATTGCGCGGAATTAGATCCCCCAAACGGCCAATTGACTGGCTGGGAGGAGCAGTAAACCCAGGGTTCTGTTGCCAGGGTAAGGCACCCAAAGGCATGTGCCCCACCACCCGCAGGCGGTGGTGCACCGCAATGCAGGGTGACCAGCAGGAGCACAGGGAACCAAGGATGCTCAACAGGTTGCAGACAACGGATCATGACTCTGATTTTGATTATTCTAAATCCGGCTGTGCTGTGGGCAGCTCGTGAAAAATGGGCTGCGCAGTACAGCGTTGGCGCCACAGCACCGCCTGCTCGCATGTCCACTGGCGGTCTTTACAACACCTTAACACGTGCCGGCCTGAGCCAGCCGCCCCAAACGGCAGTGGACGTCCTCCATTGCTTTGGATTGCGTTGTTGGTAAAAATTGGTCAGCAGGACAGCAGGACAGCCAAGGAAAGTTTGCTCGCTGGGGTAGCTCCCGATTGCTCGGGCCGCCGAGAATTGACCCAAGGAGCGAACTTCTCACCAGTCGGGGAGAGTCCCTCCACGTGCCTGGCATCGCGCCTCCTCGGTTCGCCCCCCAGGCCGTGCCCCCATGACGCTGGCCCGGCTCATTGCCAAGGCTACCAAGTGGCCAACCTTTTTGGGCAGGTGCGCAAACCTTTTTGGCCCAACATGTTGCCATGATCGCGGCAGAGTTCTAGGCCCTCTGCGCTGCCGTGGGACCGCTCCCGCTCTGTGCATGGATGCTAGCAATCTGGCAGGACTTCAGCGCCACGCGGTGAAGCGCCGCCCTCAACCCCGCCGCCGGCTGAGTAAGCCGCCCGCTCGGCACCCGCCTGCCCCACCCCTGCTCCTCGCAGCATCCTCCTGCTCTACTGGTCGGTTGTGTTTGTGGCCCTGTCCTACCATATTAAGTGGCTCAAGCTCAAGGGCCGACGAAACGATGTGCTGGGCTGGTGAGGCTCTGCCGGAGCACTTTTGGCTGGGAGTGGCGCAGCCTTGCTACTCCAATTTTGGCCGCCAGCGGTGTGGGCTCCCGCCGCTGCCCCTGCCCAGGACTTGGGTCCCCCCACCCCACCCGCCAATGCTGCTGCCATCACGCTACTTGTCCCCTGCCACTTGCGTGCCACACTTCACTGCCATTTTCACTGCCGCATGTGCCCTTGCCCGCCACTCGCAGGGCGGCCGGCATGAAGTGGTGGATCCGGTGCCGCGTGCTCAAAGTGGGCACCCAGGAGCTGTACCGCGGCCAGTGCGTGTACTTGTTCAACCACCGCAGCTGGGGCGACTTCATTGTGGACCAGTATGTCACAGAGGGGCGGTCCCTCTTCATGAGCAGGTGCAGGGCACTGGCTGTGGTGTGTGGGGGTGGGTTGGGCACCCGGGTGGTGCGGTGCCGGTATAGCGCGGTGGATGCCTGGTGGTGCCTGCGGGAGCGCCACCAGCCGTGGGGTGTGTGGCGGCCGGGCGTCAAGGGCGTTGGCTCGAGCGCCGCCACCCGCCTTCTTCCCACCCTCTGCAGGCTGGCGGTGCTGGGTGTGTTCCCCACGTTTGTCAGTGCTCTCGTGGTGCTTAAGAGTATCATTTTGTTCAAGCGTGGCAGCGTGGCGGATAAGGAGGTGAAACAAAACGAAAAACATTGTTTTCCAGCTTAGTGTGTGAGTGCAAAGGGATCAACCTCTCTGCCCCACCGCTGCTGCAGAAGTTCAATCGGTGGATTGACGAGCAGCGCGCCGCCAGCCCCCAGCCGGGGCTGTCGGTCTACCCTGAGGGTGAGCGGGCCTGGCGGTAGCAGGGCTGGAGCAGGGCTGCTGCTGCAGACTGGCTGCCCAGGAGATCCAGAAGGGTGCTGGTGGGCATCCAGCAGGCGGCTGCGGGTGGACGCATTGGTTGGCTGCCGACCAAGCAGCTCGGTTTGGGGAAGTTGCGCTGGGTGCTGTCTTGAGCTCCGCTGCTGGTGCCCTGCAGGCCACCGCAGCACGCTGGGCGAGCCACTGCCCCTCAAGCGCGGCATGCTGCACTACGCCTTCAGCCGCAAGCTGCCGGTGCAGGCAAGCCAGGGGCTGCCGGGCTAGCCACTCGCTGCCGCCAACTGCCCCTCTGCCTTTGCCCCTTGCTTTGCGGGCGACGGCTGATGGGCCGTCGGGCGCCGCCGTGCAGATCGTGATCGGCGCCAACAAGGAGGCAATCATTTCGGAGAAGCACTGCACCGCCAGGCTGAACCAGACTGCTGTGGTGGGCTACTCAGGTGCGTGCCTGGTGGCGGTGGCGTGCGTGCGTGTGGCAAGGGCACAGGCGGCAGCAGCTTTGTACATGCTGGCTGGTTGGGCGCCGACCAACGCAGAGCTGGAAACAGCCGGCAGCAACAGCAGCCCTCCTGTGGCTCACCGACGCAGGCCTGCTGCACCCCTCGCGCTCTCAGCCCTCCCACCCCCACCCGCCTTTGCATTCACGCACCCTAACCTCAGCTGAAACCACTTGCTCCCCTGCCTGCAGCCCCCATCATGACTGCCAACTACCCTTCATTTGACGCCTTCTGGGAGGAGGTGCAGGAGGCGTGGAATGCGCAGTGGGCCGCCGTGTTTGGCGCCGACTGGGACGGTGCGCTGCACTGGGGTGGGCGGTGGCGCAGAAAGGGCATGCCATCGCTGCGAGCCGGCCTGGTCCATGCATGTCTCTGGATCGCTTCCCGACTGTGGGAGCAGCAGAGCGGCGAGCGCCGACTTGATTTCAGTGATGTGTCGAGGCGCCAGGCGCTGCTGCCATGTGCTTGCCGTGAAGCACACCAGCCGGTGTCTGCCGGCTGTCGTGACCGCAGGCCTGCCGGAGCTGGCGCCGCAGGAGCCCGACACCGAGTACCCGGCTTCCATTACGCTGGGCATGCTGGGCGTCGTGGTCGCCAACATGGCTCTGTTCTGCCTCACCTGCTGGCTCTCCTTCCGCTTCTGGCGCTGGCTCTTCGCGCTGTTTGGTCCGGCACAGCCCGTGGCGCTGGCAGCGGCGGCAGGCTATCTGGCACTCGCCTTCTGGCTCTACTCGCGGCCTGTCAACGCGCTGCAGCTGCACGCAGAGAAGCGGCGACCCGGCCAGCTGGCGCAGTCGGCGACGAATGTGGCGGCGCTAGACGGAAAGAAGGCCAGCTGAGCCCGCCGTGCTGCTTGCTGCTGCTGTGTTCTTTATTGTGCGCTCGCCTGATAATCAGACCTCGGCCTGCTGGTGGATGAAGCGCGGGGGATCGCCTGGGTTGCGCACGCTTCGGCACCTGTCATGCATGCCGTCTGGTAGGCAGACCAGCTGGCCTGTAACGAATAACCTCCAGGATGTGTGCACAAAGCAATGTATGGTCACATGGCAGTCCACAATTCCGGCCAGGCAGCCTTGGGAACAGCAGCAGCAGGCCGTCCTCCCAACCCGCCCCAGCGGGCTGAGCATGGGAACCGCTGGTGCACAAATCGCCTCCCTTCGCCAATCAGGCCTTCCCATCGCTCAGCAAGTTGCTTGCCGCTTCAATTGCGGTCCCATTGGTTCAACCATCGCCCCGCCATTCGCTTGGCCCACCTCCGCACGCCTGTGGAAGGGCCGTGAAACAGTCGGCGCGCTGCCGCATCCTGTTAAGTCTGCTCTATGATGTCTCCACGCACCTTACTGGGCCTGCCTGCCTACCTCTACGGCGTGGGCTGCATGTTCTGGTGCGTCAAGCAGGCTTCCCATCGCTGCCTGACCTGTGGCGTGAGCGGACGACCTGTGAACGCGGCCTGCGCTCGCCGGGTGCCCACTTCCTCCAGCCGCTGCGCCCCCGCCTCCGTCTTTGCGTGCAGGTGCTTCCAGCTGGGCTGCCTGACCGGTTTCATCAAGTGGTGGCAGTTTTCGCCAGCTAGGAACGACATTGTCGCCGCGTGAGTGGCGATGGGGACGGTTTGGGGCGATCTGCTTTGGCCACCAGCCGTGCCGCCAACCTTGACGCTCACGGCTGGTGTGCGACTCGCCGTTGGCCGTGCAGGGTGCGCTTCCTGAAGTGGGCCTTCAAGTACCGTGTGCTCAAGCTGGGCAGCAATGAGGTGTACAGCGGAAAGTGTATGTACCTGGTAAGCTTGTTTCGGCGCGTTTGGCGGTCAAGGCTGCTCTTTCTGCTCCGCAATGCCAGCACTTCACGTTGGGCAGAAAGGACGCATCAGCGCTTACACAAGCAAGACGTGCTGCTTATCACCGGCGACGCGCTGCCTGCCTCGCCGCCGCAGGCCAACCACCGCAGCTGGGGCGACTTCTTCGTCGACATGTATGTGACGGGGTGCCGGGGCGTGCCACTGAGCAGGCGCGCCGTGGGCGCCGCCTTCCCCGCCTTCACCACCTCCCTCATGGCTCTGCGCTCCATCCTGCTGTTCAACCGTCTGGGAGTCAAGGATACAGAGGTGAGGTGGTGTCCCGGCCCCGGGGCATTGCGCCTTCTGCCACCGCGGGCTTGGCGGGCCAGCTGATGCCACGGCTGTGCTGCCGCATGCCATCCCTGTGTGCTGCCATCCGGCCTGCTCCGTTGCTGGATCTTCCACGCTTTGCTGTGACCTGCCTGCAGAAGTTCAACCGCTGGCTGGACACCGAGCTGGCCAAGGGCGGCCCACAGACCAACCTGCTGGTCTACCCTGAGGGAAAGCGCAGCCAGCAGACCGCCTCGCTGCCCCTCAAGCGCGGCATGCTGCGCTACGCCTTCACCCGCAAGCTGCCGGTGCAGGTGGGCTGCCTGCGGGCCGACTGCGCCTGGGGCAGCCTTTGTTGCTGGCCCTGCCGCGTTGCGGGCCGGAGCACACACCCTGCGATGCCCTGCACAGGGCCTGCGCCTGCCTGCTGCCACACATCTGTCCCCGCCAATACAATGGTATTGTTCCTCGCTGGTGGGCAGGTGGTGGTGACTGCCTACAAGGAGGAGATCCTGAACGAGCGCCGCATGTGGACCCACTTTGGCCGCACCCTCGTCACTGGCTGCTCAGGTGGGTGGGCGGGTGGTGTGGGCCTCGCGGGTTGGGGCAAAGGTGGCTGGCTGGCAACACGATGCCGGCTGCTGGATGGTCTGGCTGCCCCAACTCCCACGCTGGCCCCAGAACATTTGCTCTGCTGCCTTGGTGTTGCTGCCGCCCAGATGTGATGCGAGCATGTGAGGCTGAGCCCTGCCCTGCCTGGTGCAGAGGTGCTGGAGAGCTCACGGTTTGACGACTTTGAAGAGTTTGCGGCGGCTGTGCAGCGTCTGTGGGATGCGCAGTGGGAGGCTGTGTTCGCGGCGCCGCGGCACGGTATGTGTGGCCGCAGGCAGGCAGGCGGCGGGCTTGTGCAGGCCCGGGGCCGGGGTGCTGCTGCTCCCGGTGCTGCCTGCTGCTGTTTGCTGTCGGTGCTGCCTTTCTGGATGCTGTCCCTGCTTTGCCAGTTGTTAGCGCTGACCGATGCGTGCCCTTCCGCTGACCTGGCGCTGCTGGTGCAGGCTTGCCTGTGATGCCTGAACCGGCAGGCCCGGCTGGCAACTACTCGCCAGCCACCTGTGCCAAGCAGACCGCATCTCTGGCTTTCTGGATGGCGGTGCTGGTGGGCGGCACACGCCTCATGCTGCGTGCGCTGGCGGCGGTGGCAGCATGGCTGCCTGGGGGCCGCTACCTGGTGTGGGCACTGGTGCTGTACAGCGTGGCCTCGCTGGCGGCGGCGGCCCTGCTGCCGCCGCCAGCTGCACGGCACAGCAGCACGGGTGCCAGCGGCGCAGCAGTGGCTGGCGGCGCTGGCGGCAGCGCAGAAGCGCGCAAGGAAAGCTGAGCGGGTGGGAAGGCTCTGTGGATTTTGGGGGCTTGCCCACGAACATTCTGCCGTGCAGTGGTAGCGGTGTGGGCTTGGACCATTTCTTAACAATTCATTGCACATTATTATTGCAGCTTGCACAGACCTTTCATGCCTGGCAGCCACTGTGTAAAAAGCTTGCACATCCACCACTGGTGGCACCGGTGCCGCAAGGGCGGCTGTGTCGTACTTTCCTCCCGCCCCGCCAGCGCCTCGAGCTGCATCTGGGCGATTCTGGGGACTGCCAGGAGTGCCAGATCCGTGCAGAATGCTTTGGCAGGGGGCATGTGGCAACAGCATGCTGTCGGGTTGCGCGTGGGCGTTGGTGGTGGCGTCCGGCGGCGGGCCACGCTATGCTCAGGCTCACGCCCACTGCCGGCCAGGCGCCAGCACATAGCACGAACTGCTTGATGCTCGCCTGGATTCCAGCTTTGGATTGCTTCCTAGAGCGCAGAATGGGGCGAGCCGCAAGTTCAACATGTGTGTCATGCAGGCCCTGCTTGTCTGTGACCAGCTACCGAGCGACCCCGGCAGCGCCGCAAGGCCCCCAATGTGTAGAGTAGCCTGATCACAGGCGCGTGAGATTGCGGGGGGCCGGGGAGACAGCGGTGGGAATGAAGGGTGCGGTCAAGCGGGTGGGTCTTGTGCACCCTGCCTGCTGCCTGCATCGCAGCTGGGAGCTCCTCTCCTCAGATTATCCTCTGCAAGCCCAAATCAGGCGGCGCCCACCGCATTCGTCTTCCCCCACAACCGCCTGCCCGCTGCAGCGCTTGTTGAGCACTTTGGACAACCTGGCGGCCTTGGGCGATCATCGGCCCCATCGCGTGCAGGGCCCTGGCCCAGAAATTTGGGCAGACCGGGCTGGCAATAGATTCAGGGACCTCCGCTGACAGTCAGCTGCGGCCTTGTTTGGCGCCCTCCTGCTTCTTCTGCGTGTTCAAGCCAGCCGGCCATGAGCGTGTAGGGGGTGGCTATGGAAGCCAACGGGCCATCAGACGCCGTCAGTGTGCCGCCTGGTGAGTGGCCAGCTGCGCAAGGGGCTCTGCCGCAGCACGCCGCGGGCGGGAGTCCTGGGTAATCAGCGGCTGGCGGGCGGCGGGCCGTGGCGTCGCCGCTCCTGGGTTTGGGGAGAATTGGCTGGGCCAGCAGAGGCCTGTCGCGGTCCCCTGCTGCCTCCGGTGTGCTGCCTTGCATGGGAAATGCTACACTTGCCGTGTACTCCGTGCCACAAAATAATGGTGGTTGGCAGCCCTTTGTGCTTGGCCCGGCGGCCTGCCTGGCAGGGAGTGGGCACTGCTGCAAACCCGGCATGCTGCCACTGGGGAGCTGCTGCCTAGCCTGATGGCCGCAATTGTTCTCCCTGCCTTGCTTTTGCAGACGCAGTGGCGCCAGCACCTGAGGCTGCTCCCATGGAGCCAGCAGCACCTGTGGCGGCGCCTGCGGCCCCGGCTCCAGCCGCGTCACCAGCTGTTGCAGCCCTGGGGCAGGAGCCCGCCTCCGCCGCTGCCAGCAGAGGCGGCACCCCGCCGGCGGCGGCCGGAACCGGCGGCGGCGCCGCAAGCGCTGCCACACCCTCGTCGCCAGCCGCCACACCATCGGGGGCAGCGGCGGCCAATGCCACAGGCAGCAGCGGCAAGAAAGTGGCGCAGCAGAAGACTCCTTTCCAAAAGGAGGCTTTGGAGGCTGCCTTTGCACGTAGGTTTTGCTGCGGTGCCGCCCCTGGACCCCTTCCCTTCCTTCTACTGTGCAGTTGTGGCCCGCCGCTGACACTTCCTGTTAATTCTGGCCTGCCATCCAGCACTCCTCTCAGCCGTCTCTGCTGCTGCCGGAGCTGCTGCTGCATTGCCCCGGTCACTGCTCTGCCGATCCGCCCTGGCCTGGCTGGCCCTGCCGCCGCTGCTGCAGTGAGCCAGTACCCCACAGAGGACATGAAGCGGGTGCTAGGCAGCAAGATAGGCCTGACCGCGCAGCAAGTGGGGGTGAGCGTGCTGCCTGGCCTGGCTGCGTGTGGCTGGCTGCTGTGTTCCAGCTGTGTCTGCCCGTAGTTTCTCGCCAGTTGTACAGCACCTTTTGCCTTGTCTGCCTGCTGTGCTGTTCTGTTCTGTGCTGTGCTGCTGTCACTTGTGTTCCGCCAACGTGCGGCTGGCGTGTGTGGCGTGTCCCGCCTGCAGACCTGGTTCACCCACCGGCGGCGCAAGGAGAAGGATGCTGAGATAGCGGCGATTGCGGCAGCCCAACTGAAGCAGGAGCTGGCAGCCGCGGCAGCAGCACAGGGCGGCGATGCGGCCGCAGCGCCACCTGTGGCACCCGCCCCAGTAGCAGCGCCAGCGCCAGATGTCCCACCAGCTGCACAGCTTACTGCGGAGCCAGCCTCTGTGGCGCAACCAGCCTCCACGACAGGCACAGCAGCCAAGGCTCCGCCTCCAGCTGAGGTGCCCGCGCCGACAGCCGCTGCTCCCGCAGCAGCAGCAGCAGCGGCTGACGAAGCCACGCTCACTGCCGCTGCCGTTCCAGCCGTCGCTCCTGCTGCGCCCGCTGTCGCTGCCGCTCCGGCTGCTGCACCTGCTGCGCCCCCTGCTGTTGCCGCTGGCGGGGGTGGGCCCGATGTGCCCACCCCCGCAACAGTGCCCCTAAGCTCCCCCAGCAGCGCAGAGGCGGTGCCAGCAGCGGCCCCAGCCCATGCAGCTGGAGGCGAAGCGGCGGGCCCAGCGCAGGCAGCAGCTCCAGCAGCAGCTCCAGCAGCAATTGCTGCCACGGAGCCCGCTCCCCCGGCTGCCCCAGAAGACGGGACACCTGCCGCACCCGCAGCCGCAGCGCCTGCAGCAGCAGAAGCGGGCGCTGCTGCTGGCGAGGGCGGCCAGGCTGGCGGCGAGGCCGGCGAGGAGGATGCCTTGGACCAGACAGAGCAGATGCGGCTCGCGGAGTACCTGGTGCGTCTTGCCGTTGGCAGCTCCTTGTTGCTTTCCGCGCCTGTCTGCTGCCCAGCTGCCCGGCTGCCCGGTGCATCTGCTGCGGCCCTGTCGCTGCCAGGATGTGCCCTGCACTCGCTCCCGGCACCCACCGTCTCGGGGTCGTACCGCTGGATGTCAAGGGCTGGAAGACCAAAATTAGTTGTAGTTATCGTTATTGTTTTGGGGCTTAATGCTTCTTCAATAGATATGCTGTGTCCCCTCCCCCTCCCCACCTGTCCGCCCCCTCCCCGCCTCAGGAACTGGTGGAGGCAGCCAAGGCGCAGCTGGGGGTGCCGTTCCGCGAGGACGGGCCGCCTTTGGGCTTTGAGTTTGATGAAATCCCGCTGCTGCCAGGTGCGGTGTTGGCTGGTGTAGAGTTGGTTGTGGCGAGGGAGGCCTCTTGCTTGGAGTTGGGGCCCTGTACCTCTACCCTCCTGCTGTGTCTCCGTCTGGTGCTATGCTCCTTGCTGCGCATGTCCCCTCTGTGTGCCCTCTATTACCCTTGCCTGCTGCATGCCTGCTGCATGCCTGCTGCAGGCAACCCCGTCGTGATGGGCCAGAGCACGGGCAGCAGCGGCGGCGGCAAGAAGCGCAAGGCGGCGGCGGCTGGGTATGCCGACGACGAGGAGGAGGACCCAGACTTTGTGCTGGGAGGAGGAGGTGGGTGGCTGTGTGTGTGTGTGTGTGTGTGTGTGTGTGTGAGTGTGTGTGTGGCCCGTGTGAGTGGCAGGTTGCAGGATGGGTAGCTCGGCTGGTGGGTAGCTTGGCTGGTGGGTTGGGCTGCCGCCAGGCAACAAACCCACTCATCAAACCCACCGCTGCCGACCCCGCCCCGCCTGCAGGCAAGCGGCCCAAGGGCAGCAAGAAGGACTGGGCGGCAGCGCAGGCGGAGCAGCGCGCTGCCATGCTGGCGGAGCGCGCCCGCATCCAGCAGGACCGGCTGGCCAATCAGATCCGCAAGGCAGGCGGGGCTGGGGGGGCCGCCTGGGCAGGGGAAGGCTAGTAGCCAGGCTGGGGGCTGGCTGGCCTCGGTCTGGGGGGTGGAGGGCTGGCTGGGCAGGCAGGTGGCTGGTGTCTGTCGGGAGAGGCGCAAAGCCTGCCGGGCATGTCCCTGGTGTTGCCGGGTTCGGCAGCCATGCACCCTCGTGGTGCCAAGGTACCATGGTGCCTCTCTGACATGTGCTGCTCCAACATGGTACCGCTTCATGGTACTGCAGGAGCAGGAGAAGATGCTGCGCGAGAAGGAGCGGATGGACATGAAGGTGGCCAAGGAGCGGGAACGGGAGCTGGCACGGCTGGAGGGGGAGCGCCGCAAGCACCTGGAGAGGGTGATGAAGGAGCAGGTGAGTGGGCTGCTGGGTGGTTGAGGGGCGGGGGCGGAGTGGAGGAGCAGGCAAGGGACAGGGATGAAGGTCACGAGGACCAGGCATTCAATTGCAAAGGCGGATCAAGTGAGGAGCACAGCAGGCACAAGCAGCACCCGCCGCACGCTCACGGGTGGTGCCAGCCTCTCGTCTACCCGCACGCAGAAGAAAGAAGAGGAGCGGCGGCTGAAGGAGGCGGAGCGCCTGCGTGCCATTGAGCAGAAGGAGAAGGCGCGCGGCCAGCTGCGCGCCTCTCCCGCCCTGTGCCCGATGCCAGCCTTCGCCGCAGCTACGGAACTCACGTGTGCCCTGCCCCTCCTGTGCCTGGCTGCAGAAGAAGCTGATTGCGCTTCAGGAGAAGGAGCGGGAGCGGCTGGAGAAGATGCGGCAGAGGGAGGAGAAGAAGCGGTGCGGGGCTGCGGTGTGGGTTGCTGGTGTGGTGGGCATCTGTGCCCGCCTGGCCGTTCTCTTGTGCTCCCAACTGTGCAGCCCGGCTGCCATGGGTCCCCGCCTGCGTGCCTGCTTAGCCTTCTCTCCCTCTCACCCCCGCGCCCGTCCCTCCTCTCTCTCGCTCGTGTGTGCCCGTGGCGCAGCGAGAAGGAGGTGCTCAAGGCGCTGCAGGCGCAGGAGAAGCGGGAGATGCGGCTGCGGCAGCGGGAGGCTGGGGTGACGGGGCCTCGGGACGATGCCGACATCGAGTGGGATGCGCTGCTGGCAGACTACCGGGCCAAGCACGGGTGAGGCGCCTGCCTGCCTGCCTGCCTGCCTGCCTGCCTGCCTTCCTGCCCGCCTGCGGCCTGCCTACAGAGGCGTGCAGCCGCTGGCTCGCATTGCCGAACTGCTTATAAAATGGCGGCGCTGGTGCAGGCTGCCGCCCGATGTGGCTCTGCCGGCAGACGAGGACGGCGCGGCGCCGGCCGGCTTCCCGCCCCTGCCCAGCCGCCCTCCCTTCCCGCCTCCCACCGTGGCGCTGGCGCCTGCCTTCCCGCCTGAGCTGGGGCAGGAGCAGGGCAGCAAGCTGCTGACGTCCTGGTCCTTCCTGCACGGCTTTGGAGGCATGCTGGGCCTGCCGCACTGCACGGTGCGCCAGCGCGGCACTTCTGTGCCCCGCTGTGCCCAACGGCCAGCCTTGTGTTGCGGCTGCTCTCTCAGCCTCCGCCATCTCCTGGGGTCCCTGTCTTGATGCTGGCCTGCCTAGGTGACCACCCCTCCACCACCTGCCCCGCCCTGCCCTGCCCTGCAGTTGAGCGAGCTGCTGGCGGCGGTGGCGAAGGGCAGCAGCAGCTCGCTGCTGGCCAGCCTGCACATCACGCTGCTGCGCCTGGTGCAGGCAGACATGGGTGCGCGCGGGGCGGGTGCTTGCAGAAGCTGCCGGGCTTGCATGCATGCATGCCCATGGCGTGTGGGTAATGCCCGGCTGGTGATTTGTGGTTTCATCACTCGCCAGTTGACTCTGGTCCTGGCCTGCCCCACCCCGCGCTCGCCCCCCTCCTGCAGAGGAGGCGCATGCGGCGCAGTTTGGTGCGTACGCCACCACCACCGCCGCCATGCTGGCGGAGCAGCGGGGCGGCGACTCCCGCTTCATGTCTGCGGCGCACATGCTGGAGGAGGCGTGGAGCTGGTGGGTGGGGCCTGCACAGCTGCACAGCAGGGGTGGGGCCTGCGTGGCCGGGCAGGTGGTGTGAGGCCCGCACAGCTGCACAGCACGGGTGGGGCCTAGCGTGCCTGCTCAGCCGGGGTGGACCTGCGTGGCTGTGCAGCGGCTGGCTGGCTTGTGGCTGCCTGTGGCTGACCACAGTGGAGTATGAATGGAATGCAGATGTGGGGGAGGGAGGGGGATGAGCTGCGATTGTGCCGCGCGTCGGCCTGCCAGCCACCTCCACCACAACCTGTTCTGCTCATACATCCTCCCCCTTGCTCCTCCCCTTTTGTCTTGCGCCACGGCAGGGGCTTTGATGTGGACGGGTGGCGGGCGCACCTCAACTCGCTGACGTGGCCTGAGGTGGCGCGCCAGCTGGCGGTGACCGCGGGGCTGGGCCGCCGCCGGCCCAAGCCCAAGAAGGAGGAGCGGCCCAAGATGGGGCAGGAGGGGGAGGACACCGTGCAGGATGGCAGCGGTGAGGAGCACCTCCCTTGCACAGCCTCAAGGGGTGCCTGCTGGCCGCAGCCTCGTGCCTGCCCGCCTGCCTGCCTGCCCGCCTGCCTGCTCACCCGACGTTGTCAAGCCTCCACCCTGCCGCCCGCCCCCTGCAGGCGACCTCAAGCTGCGCCTGCCGCCGCGCCTGGGCGTGGGCACGGTCAAGGCGGCCGCCTGGCAGGTGCTGGCGGAGGCGGGGCCGGAGGGGATGCGGGTGGAGGACATTGCCCGAGAGATCCAGAAGCGCGGCTTCAGAGACTTGAGGTCCAGCAAGACCCCCGAGGCCTCCGGTGGGTGGCCTGGGCCGGCGGCTGCTACTGGGCTGTGCTGGGCTGTGCGCTGCGCTCGGCAGAGCGCTTGCGTGGCGGTGGCTGGTCTGCGCTGCGCTTGGCAGAGCGCTTGCGCGGCGGCGGCTGGTCTGCGCTGCGGCGCCGCGGCTTCGCTCCAAGGGCGGGGTGGCCTGCTTGCAGCGGACTCGCCGCGCTGAGGCCCACCTCAGCTTTGGGTTGAGTGCCAGCGCCTGTGTGGGGCTGGGCGCGACCGTCTCTCCTCGCTGGCTGCCTGCCTGCGGCTGCAGTGGCGGGAGCGATGGGCCGCGATGTGCTGTTTGTGCGCACCAAGGCAGCCACCTTTGCGCTGCAAGCCATCATCGCTCACACCAACCAGCAGCGGCGCACCGGCGGGGCTGCCGCGGGCGGGGACGCGGCGGCGGGGGATGCTGGCGCCAAGGCCGAGGGCCAGGAGGCGGCGGCGGCGGACCCGGAGCTGCTGTCGCCTGGCGGCACCAAGATTGTGGTGGTGAAGGAGGATGAGCAACAGGAGGAGCACCACGCAGAGGAGGAGGAGGACGAGGACGAGGAGGTCAGCTGCTGCCGCCTTTCTTTCTTCCTTGTTGACAGCTGAACTGGCTGCTGCTTGCTTGCAACCCACACGTCCTCACCAGCCTTCATCTCATGCCGCGCGTCTTTGCCTCGCCTGCACCGCCCGCTCCCCGCCCGCCCCCGCGCTGTGCAGGAGAAGCAGGAGGAGGAGGAGGAGGAGGCGCGGCGGCGGGAGCAGCTGGGCGAGGCGTGGGTGGAGGCGCTGCAGGGGGCGGACTACGATGGGCTGTCCCTGGAGCACCGCGTGGGCATGCTGTGCTCGCTGTGCCACCTGGCCATGGACTCACCCAGCATCAAGTGCGGCTGCCGCCGCCGCGCCGCCGCCTGCTCTAGTGTCCCTCTCTGTCGGCCCTCTGGCGGGTGCTCGGCTGCCGGGCGCTTGGTCTGTGCATCCAGCTGGCGGCTGCCGACAGGATGGAGGGTGTGATTCCTACTGCACCTTGGCTGTGTGCCCTTGCTGTGCTGCCCAGCTGAAGCCGAGTGTGCCGCCTGTGTTGTCCGCTGCGCCTGCGCTGGTTCTGCAGGGAGACGCTCGAGCGGCGCATGGAGGAGCAGCAGCGCATCAAGAAGCAGAGTTGGGAGGAGGCGCGGGTGGGTGGCGCTGCTGCACTTGCGGTGTAGGAGATACAGTGGATACAGTAGAGGTCCCGCCTGAGGGTCATGCTGCGCTGCTGCCTCCTCCTCACATGCATGTGTGGCTGCCTGAGTGACAGCTTCGCCTGCTGCCGGCTCGACCCCTGCAGGCCGAGAAGCGTCGCAAGCAGACCGAGGCAGCTGCCAAGGCGCAGGCGGCGGCGGAGGAGGCGCAGCGGGCCCTGCAGCGCTTCCAGCAGCAGCAGCTGCTGCAGCAGGGCGGCATTGCGGCGCCCGCTGCGGCGCAGCAGGCGGGGGCAGGGGAGCCCGCTGCTGCCCCTGCAGCGGCACCGGGTACGGCGGGGGAGCCTGCACCAGCCGCAGCGGCAGGCTCGGTTGATGGGGCTTCCCCTATGGATGTAGACAAGGCGGCACCTGCAGCAGCCGAGGCAGCAGCTGGGGCTGCGCCAGAGGCAGCAGCCCAGCAGCCTGCAACAGCCGCAGCCCCCGCTGCCGCTCCCTCCGCCGCTTCTCCAGCTGGCGGCGAGCCCACCGCCGCTGGCCAGGCCGGCACGCCTGCGGCCCCGCACTCTGCGGACCCTGCAGCACCAGCCAGTGCAGCGGCTATCGCCACGGCCACCAAGGTGTGCCTTGCTGCCGCTGCTGCCCCTGCAGCGTCACGCATGCAGCACCTGCCCACCTCCCTTCCCGCACAGTGCACGCCTCTTGCCTCCCGAAGCCGCCAAGCGCGGTCCTGACTTGCCTTCCGCTGCTCTGGCCCATGCAGGAGGGCGGCGGCGGCGACGACAAAGAGAACGACGTGGAGCGGGCACGCCAGCGTGCGGAGCAGGTCCGGCGAGAAATGGAAGCCAACTCAGGTCTGCCTGCCAGCCGGGCTGTGCGCTCTGCTCTCCTGCCGGCTGCCCTGGGGTCGGGACAGAGTGTGGTGGCGTTGCGCGATGATGCATGGCTGCCAGCATCGTTGTGCCTGCCGGCAGCTTTGCCTAGCCGGGTCCGTCGCGCGGTTTTGGCTGTCACACCACCCAGCCCACGCCACACACACCCGCACGCCGCGCGCTGCCTCCCGCAGTACGCCTGGAGCCTCTGGGCATGGACAGGCGGTACAACAAGTACTGGCGGCTGGCTGGCGTGCCGCTGGGCGCCGCCGCCGCAATTCAGCAGGCGGGGGCAAAGGAGGAGGAGGGCGGCGAGCACGCGCACCAGGCCGGGGACCGGCTGCTGTTTGAGAGCCATGAGGATGGCGAGATGAGCCTGGTGTGCGGCTCGGCGGCGCTGGCGGCGCTGGTGGCGGCGCTGGAGCGGCGCGGGGCCCGCGAGTCGCTGCTGTATGCCTCGCTGCTGCGCTACCGGGGCGTGCTGGAAGCGGGCATGCCTGCAGGTGGGTGGGCAAGTGGTGGTGGTGGTGGAAGTGGTGGTGATGGTAGTGGTGGCGGTGGAGGGGCGGTATAGTCACGGCGTTGATGATGCGCAATGGCAGTGCACCAGGCGGTGGGGATGGGCTGGCGGCTCGGAGGCTAGGAGGTGGAGGGCTTGCAGGTTGACGCGTGCCTGCAGTTGTGTCTTGCTCTCCTTCTGGCGAGCGCCCAACTGCGTGCCGCGCCGCGCCATGCCTGCAGCGCCGCTGGCGTTGCCCGCCGCCGAGGGCGAGGCGGCAGAGGCGGGCGCGGAGCAGCGGCTGCGCGAGATGCTGCTGTCCCTCGTCCTGGCGGCGCCGCCGCTGCAGCCCGTCCAGGTGTCGGGGCGGGCTGGAAAGAAGGCCAAGGAAGCAGCGGCAGCCACTTCGGCGGCCGAGCAGGCAGCGACCACAGAGCTGGCCCCGCTGCGACCGGGCGACAGCCTGGCAGTCACGCGGCTGAAGCTGGTGGGTGGCGCCTGGTCCTCGCCGCGGCCTGCCCGCCTGTCTGCTACGGCAGTACTCGCTGCTGCTGGCGCTGCCCACCTTTTGAGACCCCCAGAGCGACCCCAGAGCACCATGTGGCCTGCTACCATCCGATGCCCTGCTGCCTCTCCTTGCCCCGCTTGTGCGCAGGACTTGCTCTGCTGCCAGCGGGGCCTGCCCGCGGCAGCCCTGGCCAAGCCCTTGGTGCCCGCCGCCTGGCAGCAGGCGGTGCGGGAGGCGGACTCGCTGCAGCAGCTGCGCAGCCTGCTGGGGGAGGTGGGTGGGCTGCCGGCTGGGCAGGCACATGCACGCTCCTCTGTTGCACCCACCCTGCCTCGCGCCGCACAGGCGTTGCCTGCCTCCTGCCGCCGTGCTTCATCCTGCTGAATGCATTTGGCCCGCAAGCTGCTGCTGCCTCCCCCTGCATGTGCAGCTGGAGGCGGCGCTCGACCCCTCCCGCCTGCACCCGCTCTTTATGCGACAGCCGCCACTGGTGCGGGGCGCCTGGCTGCGCACAGGTGAGGGCCGCAGCGCCGCCGCTGCCGCCGCTCGCGCAGCCGTCCTGCTGCTGGGCTGCCTGCCTCCCTCCCAAGGGCCGCGCTGGATTTTGGTTGTCCTTTCCTCCTTCGCTTTGCTGTGCATCTCTGGTTGAAAGCACGAGGATTGAGCGCGAGGAATGTCCCTCCCCCTGAGCACACCCCTCCCCTCGCCCTTCTTTCCTCCAGGCCGCGAGGTGGCGGATGCCCAGAGCCTGGCAGAGTTGCCAGAGTCGCCCAGCGGCGCACGCGACGCCAGCCCCGGCGCCTTTGGCGGCGGCCGCAGCCGGGACGCGTCGCCGGGGGCTGCCGGCGCCGAGGCGGGGGCGGAGGCTGAGGAGGAGCCGCCGCTGGCCTGGCTGCCTGTCACGGCGGCGGCCCTGGCCTGGCGCATTCAGTGCCTGGACGCATCGCTGCTGTACGGCGCCGCCGAGGCGCAGGCGGCGGCCCGCGAGAGCCTGGCGGGCTACCAGTTCATCCAGCGCCCCACCGCCGCCGGCGTGGTGTGCGGCCAGCCGCTGGGTGGGTGGCCCCTCCCGCCTGCCTGCTGTCGCTGCTCACTTGTGGTCCCGCCTACAGCACCAGGTGTTGATGACGCCCCCTCTGATCGGACACCGCCGAGCCCCTGGTGCTGCTGCAGGCCTGGCGGGGCGCGTCAAGCAGACGCTGTTCCCGCCGCTGCCGCAGCGCCTGCTGTACAGCCCACGCTGCGACTTCTCCTTCCCCCACATCCAGTTCCAGGCAGATGTGGCCTCCGGCAGTGATGCCCTGGTGGCATCCACCGCGGGGCGGGGAGGCCGGGGGCGCGGCCGCGGCCGGGGCAGGTGCGCAGCGCTGGTTGCGCTGCGCTGGTTGGTGCGCTGGCATGGGTGCCAGCCTTCCGGTCCATCTCAACCGCCTGGCCCTGGCTGATGCGTGTGGTGCTATTGCTGGTGCTGCCTGCAGGGGTCGCGGGGGCGGCCGTGGCGGCCGTGGGCGCGGCCGCGGCACGCCCGCCGCCAGCGGCGTGGCCGGCGACGGCGCGCTTCCTGCCGGCGGGCGCGGCGGCAAGAAGAAGCGCGCCCCGCGGCGGCCGGGGGTCACCGACAAGAGCGCACTGGCCAAGGAGTGGGAGAAGGTGTGTGGGTGGCAGGGAGGGAGGGAGGAGCTCTGGGGCCGGGTGGCGCTCGACCGTCGGGGTGCGGCGACCTTGTGGCTGCCTTCCTTCGCACCTCGCCTCGCCCCCTCGCCTGCCCTCCCTACTCGCCTGCGGCTGACGCCTGCCCGCCCCTGCCCCACCCCACCCTCCCCCCACGGCCCTGCTTGCAACAGCAGGAGGACTCTGACAGCGAGAAGCACTATGGCACCGACTTTGAGGATGAGTTTGTGTCGCCCCAGCAGCCGCAGCGCCCGAGCGGCAGTGAGTGTGGGGGGTGCAGCGCCCGCCCACTGAACCTGCAGCCTCCCCCAGGGCCTACTTCACCGCCCATTCACATGTGCATGCTTGTTTGCACCAGCGGGCTGGCGCCTTTGCTGCGGGCGCTGCTTCTGCACTGCCTGCTGATGGGGTGGGTCTGCTGTGCTGCCCACGCCTGCAGGCCTGCCGCCGTCTGGCCCCGCCTCCACTGCTGGCGACGACGACGACGAGCAGGGCTCTGGTGAGCTGGCATGCCCGCCCCGACTGCCAGCCGAGCGGACCCAGCTGCTCTGTTTGCCAGGAGTGGGCTTGCAGGCGCTCGGCTGCCCAGGCCACCACGCTCCACCCTCAGCTTCCCGGCATGCATGTGCTTCATGTGGAGCTGGCCCCGTCTTCTCCTCACCCGCCACCTCTGCGCCCTGCCTGCAGTGCTGGCCCAGAGCGAGGACGAGGCGGTGAGCAGTGAGGGGGAGGGCGCCGAGTGAGCACCCGCCTGGGCGCACCATTGCTTGCCACAGTAGTGGCCGGCCCTTTGGACAGAGCCTTGCGGACTGCCCCAGCAGGCACACCTGCACAGACGCAGCCAGCTAGGACTGAGGGTTGGCGTGACCGGTCGGCAGCGCTCCCCACCCGCCTCGCATCCGCATTTCATGTCCCTTGGGTTGTCGGCATGCACGTCGATATGTTGTGGCATGCGTTTGTGGCAGCATTCCGTTTGCCTGTCATGCTACCTCATCTGTCCCATTCCCATGTGTGCTACTGATGCATGCCGTCCATATATTGGTGTGAGGTGCATGAAATCGAAAGTCTCAATAGGAGGCTGATGGAGAGAGGACTCCAGAGCAAATGATGGTGGAAAGCAAATGTGATCAGAGGGCGAATGATCAAAGGGGATCAGTTAATAAAAGGGATGAACGAACTGCGAAGAACAAAAGACTTGATGGCCAGATGTTATAATATGTACAACACGGCTGGGAGGACCATCGGTGGAGGGAATGCAGGGCTCAAGGACGGGAACTGCCATTCGCATTGCTCTCCTGCTCCGGGTCTGCCACTTGCAGATCGCTGCTGTGCGCTGCAGCCGCCACTGCTGCTCCATCTCCTTCGCCACTGGCAGCCGCTGTCGGAGTATCACATGCCACCGCCATCCCTGGCAGCACCGGCAGCGCCATGCTCGAGGCAAGATCATACGTATAGACCGGGATGCGGGGCTGGGCACCTGCGGAGCAGTGCTGGGTGGGAGGCTAGTCAAGAGCGTGAGCTGGTCAGGCAGGCAGGCAGCACGCAAGACAGGCAAGCAGGCCAGGCAGAGTTGCTGTCGGCACCTTTCTTGGAGGCGCGGGTCTGCTCCTGACGCTGCCCCCGGGGGCGGGGCGGGTCCTGAGGGCGGCGGGGGCTTGCAGCTGCCGGCGCTGGCTGGCTGTGCATGTCGCGGGCGCTGCGGGGCTTGGCGGGGCTGCCATCCAGGTCGGAGGCAGGCAGCTCCTTGACGGCATACAGCATCTGCAGCAAGCGAGTAGGTGTGGGGGTGGGTGTGGGGCAGGCGAATCAGGAGCGTCCGCTTTCCTGTGAGTGGCGATGGCCTGGAGACGCCTATGGCCCCCCCCCTCCGCTTTGTTCCTGGGCCGACCACCGCCAACCAAGCACAGCGCATGAGGAGCACTCGCCTTGCCATCGCCTGGCATGATGACGATCACGGGCGGCGCAGATGCCTCTGGGGCGCCATCTCCTGCCTGCTGGCCTGCTGCCGCGGAGCCGGGCCCTTGCTCCTCTGCAACAACAGTGATGGGAGGCCAGGGGGCAGGTGCAGGTGCCTCAGCTGCAGAGAGGGAGGGAGGGGCGCTCCCAAGCCGCTGGCACCCGCCACACGATGACCACGGGAAACCGCCTGCCCCCCCTGGCGCTGACTCAACCCATTCGCCCCAGCCACTCACCCCTGCTTGCATGCCAGGGCCACCAAGAGCAGCCATGCCCGTGGACCAGCTTGTTGCCCACCATCGCCAAGCCAATCAGCAGCAGCACTAGGACCAGCAGGATGAGCACCAGGCGCCCGGTGCTGAAGGGGACTTCGCCCTCGCTGCCATCAGAAAGTCCAAAGCCGAACGAGCCTGCAACAGCAGCCAGGCGGGGGCAAATGGGCAATGCGAGGTGGCATCAAGGGAGAAGGGGTAGGCCGCCAGGGGCCCGCGCCAGCGAGGCGGGCGGCAACGGCCAGGTGGCGGCGCGGCGTGGTAGCTCGGAGGCACACCAGTGCCGCTGGCTCAGCGCTTGCCAGGCAGTGGTGCCCACCAGGCCCATTCAGGAGCGCCCTGCCGGCATGGCTCATTGCGGTAAGGTGGTCTCTGCGCGGTGAGAGAATTCGAGGGCGCGCCCGTCCGAGGCACTGCGCACGTGTGCCTGGCCAAATGGGTGGCGCAAGCCGTGTTTAATGCATTAATGGCAGCTTGGGCTCCTCCCGATCGTGTATGTGGTTGCGGTTAGCCAAGTGCCACGTTTGACTTCCTGGCACAGCCGTAGCTGCTGGTACTCACCGCGCCTGGTTGGAGGAGCTTCGTGGCATTTCCACCTCAAGACAAGGCCGAGGCGCATCGATCGACGCCCAACCAATAGGAATGGAGCCTTGCTCAGGAGTCTCCAACCGCCAACTTGGCGTGACCTGGCGTGCGAAATGCAACAGGCACCTCCACAAGTGATGACAGCCTACATCGGCATGAGTTCTTGCCGTCATGGAGTCGTCGCCTTCCTGTGCCAGTCTGTTGCAGTCTGGCTAATTGCATTCTTAGTCCTCCCACTACCTGTGGGTCTCTGGCGCTCTCACTCCCGCCGGCTACAGGCAGCCCTGCTAAAACAATGTGCTGGAAACACATGCACAATAAAAGTACAACAGGGCAGGGAAACGGCAATCATGCAAGGTGGTACATACCAAACACACACGGAAAAGAATGAACGATACAGTGCTGTCAGCCCACCAGCATTGCCAACATGCAAGCAGGCCCTCCAGCTACCTCGTCACCTGGCCCGTGCAGCCGCCAGCGCGACGACGAGGGCCAGCAGCGCCGCCGCAGCAGCAGCCAGGTAGCGCGCGGGTAGCAGGTGCAGCGGCGCGCGCAGCTGCGGCAGCAGGCCGATGGGGAACTCTCGCATGATCGCTATGTTGAACTCAAACGCACGGAGCTGCTCATCCAGGATCTGCATGCCGACAGCGGAGCAAAAGAGGAGCCTGGACAGCTGGCTGTGTTGCAGGTGCCTCGCCAGCGCCGCTTTGTCTGTCGCATGCCCCGCCCTAGCCCGAACGCTCACCGCCTGCACCTCCTCCTCGCTCAGCCCAGCCCCCACCGCATCCAGCCGCTGCTTGAACGCGTCCTTCAGCTCCACGCCGCCCCCAAAGTCAAAGATGGCGGTGCCTGCGCAGGCACAGGCACGGCGTGGCACAGTGCGTTGCACGCGACGCGGGCGCAGCACAGCAACGCCTGGCTGCCACGTGCAACCCACCCGCCCGCCCTGCACACACCAAGCACGTGGTGTAGACCCCCGGCCACCCACCCTTGTCCTCCGGCAGCGCCATGTACTTGCGAGCCATGCGCTTCACGATGCGCCCGCCGCTCAGCCCCGCCGTGTGCTGCGTGAAGGCGTGCGCCAGCAGCAGCAGCGGCCGATCCGCCGCAATCTCCCGCAGGCGCGCCACGTACGCCTGCAGGCACGGCGCACCGCACGGGGCGGGGCTTGTTCGTGCGCCAGCCGGAGCGCTGGCGCGAGGGGGCGGGCGCGGCATCAGCGGGCGGCCTGACGAGCCCCCCAGCCGGCAAGATGGGGCGCACGTGGATGGATGGGCTGAGCGGGATCTTCTCGCGCCATCCCTGCCCCAGGTAGAACTGCAGGTCGGCCTCGTAGGCAGGCACACGAAGCAGCGGGCCCATCACCTCCCGCAGCGACCCCACGCCTGCAGCAGGCACGGTGGCAGGGTAGAGACGGGAGAGCCGCAGGACAGGCATGCCGGCAGCCTCTCCCCGTCCAGACAAGCATGGCTCACGCTTGTCTGCATCCATCGCCTTTTGCAGAGCCGCCTCGAGGTCAACGAATACTAGGTAGAAAGTACCGATGGCCTTGCCATACCTGCAGCGGCAGCAGAGTGGACAGGGAGTCGGTCAGCACACGGCTCCAGCTAGGGGCAAGGTGCCAGCAGGTAAGCCGCCACACCGCCGCGAGCAGCAGGCCGGTGCCCTGCTCTGCCCTCCCTGCCCGGCCCACTCACAGCTGGCGGTCGGTGAAGAGGGTGGCGACCTTGGCGAGGAGCAGTGCGTTGCTCTTCTTGTGCACCTTGGCGCTGTTCTTGATAAGCCGCTCGGTGAGCCCTGGCGGGGCAGGCGGTGCTGCTGCTGGGGGGGACGGCATGGCCGCAGGCACTGCAGGGGGCGAGTTGGCGGCAGCAGCGTGGCGGAGGCTGCGCTGGAGCAGGGCAGGGCTGCGGCGCGCAGGGCTGGATTGCAGGCAACACATACATGGCCAAGGCGCTTATTGCAGAGCAACCAGGGGCTTTCGAGCGCGAGCACCGGTGCCGGAGACCAGGAGAGGATCGACTGGAGGCGGTGCTGGCCCCGCTCAGATACTGAATGGATGGTGAGGGCCGGGAGGCGAAGTCTATGGCCTGGTGAGGTTTCCAGCCGTCCGCCATGTCAGCGGCGGCACCGCCGCCACGATGTGGCACAAGCAGCCAAGGTTTGCTGCTGAACCGCACATTCTGCCAGCCACCACCATGGGGAAGCACGCACCGTGCCCCAAGTGCACCGGCCCAGCCGGTTGCGCCTGCCAGGACGGTTGCGACTGCTCCAAGGCCGAGTGCGCCTGCTGCTCCTCTGCCACTGGCGAGCGTTGTGGCCCCTGCACCCGCTTCAAGCAGGGCGAGAGCTGCACGTGAGTGGAGTGGTGGATGGTTGGGTGGGGTGCCTTGGACCGGGCGGCTTCGACTGCTGCAGGACCTGCACGGGGGATGATCAGCGGTTCTCAGAATGGTGTGGGTGGCATCGGCAGGGCAGGGCAACCATTTCCAAGGCAGGGGAAAGGCACACCGGCTGACCTCTCTTGGTGTTTGTTGCTGCGTGTAGCTGCGAGGAGGGGTGCGACTGCGGGGTGGCATGCACCTGCTGTGCCGGCAGCAGCGAGGCCGGCAAGGCGGCCACCGCGCAGGCTGCGGCGTGATGGGCGGTCTGCCCAGGGCAGGCGGCTTCAGACTGCGCCGTTTCTTGCTGTCTGTGTTGATCCGCATACAGCTGTGCTAGTTGCATGGCTTGATTTCTCATAGATACGTTTGTTTTCATCTTGTGACATGTATCTCAGCTCATGTATGTGTGTGCACAAGCCAGACGCCAGGGACGGCCACGGGAGATGGCGGCGGCGTGGAGGGCGGGTGCTCCTGAGCTCGCGCCCTCGCTCCTCGCTGACTGCCAGCGCCTCCCCATATTCTGCTAGAGGTCGATCAGAGCAAGGTACCTCGCATATTGAATGGTGCGTTGAAATGCCGACACCTGGCTCACAACCCTTTTCAACCCATGGGGCTCCATCCCTCGCCGCATTCCCGCGCTCTTGCAGCGCTTCAGCGCGCCCTGCAGGCCGTCCCACGGCTCTCACATGCACACCCAGGGCCCTTAACAGCTTGGCTAGTGTCGGAGCCAACCAACGAGATGGCAGGAGGTGATGCGCGGTCCCCCGTTTCGGCAGAGCATTGCAGACCGCTGCCTGTCGGGCGCCCACCCACGGGCAGCAGAGGACCTTCCATTCGCGGCTGCATCATGTGGACAGCCCTGCCCTTGTGCCCCTGCAGGCAGCCACACCATCTCGGCATGTTGTACAGGCCTGTCCGTGAGTTGGGCGGCCAGCGGTGCAGCGAGACGGCCGCGCTCTGCCGGCCGAAACGTTTGCAGCACTTGCCCCCTGGTGAGCTCCTGGCAGGCTCGGCTTGCTCCAAACGGGACATGCTGCCCAGTTTTCTGGTCAGCGGCACCCTTCCCGCCGAGTGTGGCGGCAGATGGCGGGCAACGCCCCCGACGCCTCTTGACGCCCAGCCCGCGCTCGCCTGCTGCAGGCTTCTTCTGCTGACGTCCGCCAGGGCCTCACAGCTGCGGCCCCTGGTGCGAGTCGCCGCTTGCCAGCCGCTGCGACGCACCGCCGCCCGCTGTCTCGGCCAGGCGCCTTCTGCCCCGACTTTCGGGCCAGCCCCACATACGCGCCAGACCCCGAGGAAGCGGTTTCTTACAAGTACCGAGGCCTGCCGCCTCCTGCGCTGCACCAGGTGAGCAGCAGCAGCAACAATCGGCATGGCCGGCGCAGCCCTTGCCGACCACCGTTCCTGCCCCCGCTGCGCCGCCCAGCCCTCGCTCCATCCTCTTCCGCTGCCATGGCCCCCTGCGTTGCTGCTGCTTGAGTTGGCTCTGCACGCCTCGTCCATGCTGCAGGCCTTCTGTGCTGAGCACCCTGGGCTGCTGGAGGCTGTGGCGGGCGCCGCACAGGGCATGGCGCCCGCCACCGCGGCCCAGCTGCTGCGCATGCTCCAGGCAGAGCTGCCGCCTGCCCTGAATGATGTGGCGCCAGGCGGCGACTGCGTGCTTGTGGCCATCACCCCTGGGCTGCTGCCCCTGCTGGGTGAGTGCCGCCGAGTGGCAGCCGCAGGATGGTTGCATGTTCTTGCCGGCGCACAGCGCATCCCTTTTTCTGCCCGACGTGCACAGGCAGCCGGCGGGAGTGTCTGTTGCCGCTCTCTCTGTTTCCATGCTCTGCATGCCCTCGGCCTACCGTTATCTGTCTGTCTGAACCGCAGCCTGCCTGCCCGCCTGCTGTGTGCAGAGCGCGCCGGCGACTGCTGCGAAGCGTCCCTGCGGGGTGGCGAGCTGGCGCTGGCTGCCGCCGCCGCCCGCGCCGCCCTCTCCCTCCTCTCCTGCCTGCGCTTTGGCTGCGGCGAGTCGGCGGCGCCATACGCGGCCGTGGCGGTGCGCTGCAAGCAGGCGCTCAAGGCTGCCTATGATGCCGGCGCAATCATTGCCCAGGAGGTGGGGCGCGGATGACGTTGCTGCTGTTGTCGCGCCTCCCGTTCATGGTTTGTGGGCCTGGGTGGTGCGCAGCAGCCGCACCAGCCTTCCCTGCACCCTGCAACCGCCCTCGGACCCCGGCGTCGCACATGCACCGACGGCACCGTTTCGCCCGCCGCCCCGCCCGTGCCGTTGCACTGCCTGCAGGACGTTGTGGAGTTGGAGGCAGCGTGTGCCCGCGCCAGCAGCTGGCTGTGGCTCACTCCCTACGCCGGACAGCGCTATGCCAGCGCAGTGGGTGTGTTTGTGTCCTCTGGCTGGGCCAGCGCCGAGGTGGGCTGGCTGCCGGGTTTTTTCCTCTTATTAGGCTCTGCACGGGCTGATGTCGCGGAGCCTCTTGCCTCCGATGTTTGCCTGAGCCCTCCCCTGCCCTGCGCCCACTGTCCAGCCCAATCCCTGCCACCTCACCTCTGCCACCCCCCTTCCTCTGCCTGCAGCTGGCTGTGCGGTATGCCGAGGCTTACTCGCGGCTGCTGACCTGCGGCCGGTACCAAGCAGTGGAGCACAAGTATGTACGTGTGGTGCGCGCCGCAATGGGACACCGCCTGAGGTGAGGATCCCAGGCCTCGCAAGCTTCCGCAGGCAACTGGAAGGGCGAGCAAGGCCCTGCCTGCCTGCCTGCCTGCCTGCTCCTTGCCTGGAGCTTGAACCCCATCTTTGTGCTGACCTGCGGCTGGCTTGTCCGCCCCGCCGCCTGGCTGCAGCCTGGAGCAAACGGAGCGGCTGCTGTCGGCTGCCCAGAGGCTGCCAGTTGAGATGTCCATTGCCCTCGCGCTGCAAGCCCGCTCCCAGCCGGCAGCAGACTGGCACAGCCAGCTGCTGCGCATGCACCAGGAGAGGGAGCAGGAGCGGCTGCAACGCCGCCGCCTGCAGCACACGCTAGCCAATCGCTCCGCAGCGGCCGCGCGCAGGCAGCAGGTGCAGCAGCTGGAGCGGCCTGTGTCGCGCGGCCTCGTCCCCGCAGCCAGGGCACACCACACGTGAGCTGCCTCGCCAGCTGCTGAAGCTGGCTGCATGCCACAGCTGGCGCTGCCTTCCGTGTGCAAGCAAGCTAGCTTGCCAATCAGCGAATGACCAACCACTGAACAAGTGGAGCGAGGAGGCGAGGGGCGGCGGCGTGTTGGCGCACGCGTCCCTTCCCACCCTCGTGAACCATGGCAGTGCACCCTCGCAACGCCTCCCCTGTGTACTGCTGACCCCAGCGATACATCAAATCAATGGACCCATGTTGCCCTGCAACCCGTTCTGCCAGGGCCCAACCCAAAATACTTGCCAAGTTGCTGCCTGGCGGCCAGCAACGCTGTTTTGCCTCTTCAGCCCACCCGCCGTTTTCTTGCCCCTTTTCGGACCGCCTGGTCTCCAGGCAATTTTGACTTCTGTCGCCACCATCTACCTCCTTCTCATACCTGCTCCACAGCTGCGTGGGCCCCTTCACTGGTCCGCAGCTGGCTCCCGCCACATTGCTTGCCACCCATGTGCTTCCCAATTTTCCGGGCCGGGCGACCGTCTGCTGCCCGCAGCACCGAGGCACCGCGCTGCTTTCATGCCGCCGGCCAGCGTTTGGTCACCCGCTACCCTTGTCTGCAATTGTTCCCTGAAGCAATGTCCCCGCAATTGTTTCCCATTGGCATGTCCAGTGGAGCTGTGCCGGCCTCTGCCTCCCCCTCCCCGCTTGCCCCCTACCCCATGTCTCGCCACGTACATATGCAAAGCATGTGCTTTGCTCAACACATTTTTGACGTGCTGCATGGCACACCCTTTCAGCGGCGCCACCTTTGCTGCCTCACCTTGCGAGAGCCCCCCGCTTGTCGCGAAAGCGTCATGCCCCTGTCGCAGCGAGGGCTTACACCCTTGGCATTGCATCACACCGCTCGCTGCAAAAAGCACGGTGCTCCGCCGCCGCTTTGCTGCCCTCCAGCGCATGCAATGTAATAAGAGGGCCTCGGCAGTGGCTTGCAGGGCTCACAGGTCAGCGAGATTGTTGCCAGCCATGCTTGCTACATGTGGTGCCGCCTTCAAGTGCCATTGCATGTTGTTTTAAAGGTGAAGATGATTGCAGTTGTCGTCGTCATCAAATCCATTGGAGTGGCAGGCGGAACAAGGGCCAGCGCCCAACAACAAATGTAATGTTCAGAACGCGTTCAGCGCAGCTGCTGCTTGGCTGCCAGTGCCCCGCACACGCGCTTGTGCCCCGCCTTCCACGCCGCCTTGCTGCATGCCGGACTGCAGAATCGCACCGCCCGACACCCGGCGCACAGCTTGTTCCTGCTGTCCCCCGAGGTCGTATCCAGCCTGGGACAGCGCAGATGGGCGCAGGGGCGGCAGGCAGCAATCTCTGCCAGCTTTAGCTCAGCTGCCGCCACCTGCTCGGGCAGCGACCAGTACTGCTGCAGCAGGGCGCCCAGCTCAATGGCTGCTGGCATGGCCTCCCGCTGGTACAGCTCCGCCCTGCCAGCAAGCGGCAACGGCTGGCCACCGCGCTGCGCCTCGGCCCACGCCGCTTGCATCCTGGTCAACGCCGCCTGCAGTTCCTTCTGCAAGGCGTCACGCTGCTGCTGCTGCTGCTGCTGCTGATCTGCATCTGACCTGCCGCCTGCAGGGCTGCCGTCGAGCGCAGCCGCAACATCCAGGCCGGCCTGCTCCAGCTGCAACATCACTCCCGCAAACAGCAGCAGACGATCCATCCCCTGCAGCACAGAGGGCCCAGCAGGATGAGCTGCGGTGCCCCGCTGCCGCAATGACCTCTCGGCAGCAGCCCACGGCCTGCCTTGGCAGGAGGGTAAAGCCGAGAAGGCGGCTCACCTTTTTCTCAACTGTGGAACCTCCATCTCCACCCAGCGCCCTGGTTTCCTCCAGTAGGCCGCCAAGCAGACCGGTCGCGGCCAGCAACGCCGCTAGCTGGGCCGAGTCACGGGCCTCGTATGCTGCCTCCAGAAGTGGTGCAGACGAGCTGCCGGCCTGCAACTCATGGCATGAGGCCGAAAACTGGTTGCAGAAGGTGGTGCAGGCCAAACTAAGACACGTCGTTTTGCCACATCCCAGGCTCTGGGACACCGAGCAGTCCCGCGCACCTGTGCAAGTATTGACTGCACCAGGAGGCTCGCGAAGCCAGAGTCCACAGCCAACAGCTGCGGACAGTATTTGGCTGTGCTGAACAGGGCGATGGCTGAGCACCGAGTCAGCAGGCTGGTTGCATCCGCACTGCTGGGCTGCAGGCTGATCTCAGCCGCAATCGCCACTTGCACCGCCTCCTGATGCGCCTGGTGCAGCACCTCCATGTGCCGCCAGCTGCAGAAGAGCAGGCGCAGGCAGGCGCAGCGACGAGTGAAACAGCGGCTGCCTCTCTCTGGAGGCTGTGGGTGCACCCCTTTGTGGGCAAGCAGCAATGCAGTGCGCAAAGGCTGGCTGGCACCTGGATGAGGGAGATGCCGAGGTGCCCCCCATGCCTGCCGCCTTCAGTAACAAGCAGATGACAGATCGCAGGCTGCCGACCACCGCAATCACACGGTGCCAGTCAATAGGGGCCTCCTCCTTCTCGCCAAACATCTCTGGGAGCAGCGTGGAGCGCCTGCCCGCGGTTGCCAACCAGTGGACCATGCAGCAGCTGAGGTTGTGCAGGCGGAGCAGGCCGCCTGCCAGGCTGGCCGCCGCAGCTGCAGAGAGCCCTGTGCCGCAGATCTGCTTGGCGACGGCGGCTGAACGGACCGATGCCATGCAAAACATGTTATTGAATAGCAAAAAGGCCAGCAGGGCGGGAGCGCCTTGCTGATCAGCAATCCAGGAGGCGGCCGCTGGGGTCTGCTGCTGCCAGCTGTCGTGGATCTGGGCCAGCCTCGGCAGCAGCCGCAGGGCGGCACAGGCTGCTTCAGCCAGGGCTGACACTTGCTCCTCGCTGGTAATGGGGCCCAGATCAAAAGTGTTGCCATCCCTGACGAACAAGCTGAGGGCGACTGCGAAGTTCTGGCAAATGCACGCCACGTCTAAGCTGCAGCGCGGCTCTGCTTGGGCCTGAGCCAGGCACAGCACAGCCTCCATGCGCGGCAACAACAGCTGCACAACCTGCCATGCTGCCGCCCTGCGCTCCTCGAAATGCTGGCTGCTCCGCTTGCGGCTAGTGCTGCTTGCAGCGCCGCTGCCGCCCTCATCGCTGCACCCTGAGCCACCCTGCACGCCGTCGTCGATGTCCGCTGGGCTCTGCTCCCCACCGCTGACACCCTGGCTGCGGCCGCCATCCTTCTGTGCAGCACGAGCGTCTGACCTGAGCTGCTCTGCGGCACGCATCTCTGCCAGCGTCAGGCGCATGGCAAGCACCAGCTTCCAAAGCACTTGTCCAGCTGCCACGTGGCCATACACCAGCGCATCGCCCATGATGCCATGGGACGCACGCAGCGGCAGCGCCGCAGCCAGGCGCACTGCTGGCTCCACCAGGTGCCCGCTGGATTCTGCGTGCAGGGCACCAGACAGGCCCGCCTCCAGGGAGGGGTGCAGCATGCAGTCCTTGAGCCACCTGACACAGGCAAGCTGCCTGTTGAACTCATGGGTTGCTGATGCTGCGTCGCTGCTGCCGGGGTCCGCCTCCTCCATGCCCCTGACAGCTTCCTCCATGCTGTGTGAAACGAAGGGCAGGCAAATGACGAGCAGCGCGCTGGCCACCCATCTGTGTTCAGCAATGGGAAGGGACGCCAGCCTGCGGCTGTGCTGCTTGAACTCGGCGTCGGCAACAAAGGAGTGGGTCACACGCAAATAGGCGTGTGCGGTGATATTACTCCAGCCTGCAGAGCCACAGGAAGGAAGGTTTTGCAAGCCGCACCCACCGCAACTCACCGCCAGCACCCCGCAGGAGCCTGCGGCGCACCTATATGCTCACACGACTCAATTCCATCCATGAGTGCGCTCGTGATGGCGACCAGCCATTCTACTGCCGCGTCGGGCCTGGCTGCTGTTGCGGCAAAAGCCTGGGTCGGCCCCCTATCCTTGTGGGATCACCGAAAGGCGCCCAAAAATGCCTCAAACACCGCCAAGTGGTTAACGGCACGGTTGCCCCGGGCGAATGCATTGGGCCCCTTCTGGGGAAGGTAACCGTTCCCCTCCAAGCGCCATGCCGCCCCCTTGATCCCCCACCTGGTGGGCTGCCCCCACCGGAAAGGGGTGGCTGGGCTGCAGGTCCGGCCTCCCCCCAAGGGTGACACACGCGTAGAAAGCGTTGCAGGCGGCGTAGACGTGCAGAACGCGGCCGGGGGCAGTAAGGGGGGCCCCTGCCAGCGACGGTCCAAGCAGGACGAGCTGCTGCGCCAGGGCAGTGACCTTCCTGCACAAACAACGAGGTGCACGCTGGCGTCAGAGATGGCTGGCTGGGGTGGCCTGGCACTGCACGCTGCCGACAGTGACGATGCATGTGACGCACTCGGTCAGCTCTCGCTTGGTGGCGTCCGACAGGATGTCATCAGACGCCTTGGCTGACAGCAGGAGCACCCTGGCGGCATTGTCGAGGGCATAGCCCGTGGCCTCATCGGGGCACACCCCTGCAAGCCCCTGCTGAAGGAGGTCCAGCCCAGCCACCAGCGACGTGGTGCCCTGTCCCAGCAGGTGCTGAGCGGGGCTTCGGCAGAAGCGGCGGCGGCGGTGGCCACGGCGGCGGCGGGAGCAGCAAGGGTTTCAAGCTGGAGATCTTGCGCCGAATGCTGCTGACAGACCTGCACAAGCACAGGCATCTCTGATTATTATGTCGTGTGCCATGGCCATGCCAGCCGGCCGGTGTCATAAGATGTCAGACGGGTGCCCCACGGGACACTTTTGCTCGCTCGCACCCGCCACAGGCAAAAGGGGTGACCAGCGCCAGGAAGCAAGCACAAGTTTTGAGGTATGTCCACGCTGCGTCAATCGTAGGGTTGATGCCCAAATCGACACGATGGTCAACAAAACGCCCCCGCACAAGGATTATGGCCTTTGCGGGGGGGGCCTGCTGGGCATGCTGGGTGCCCGCCGCCGACGGCAATGACAGACTGTCTCCTCTGCTGAACATCAAACAATTGGTCACGCAGAACAGGGGGGCAGACAGTAAACGATGAGCATGCTCTGGGGTGGGTGGAAGCGCAGGTGACAGGTCGCAGCATGCGACGGTATGAAGAACGCCGGGGTTGCTGGCTGCGCCTGCAACTGAATCGGGGGCTCAACAACGCTCCATCGAATGGGATAGAGTGTGTCGTTCAGTTGATCAAATGGGGGGTAGACATGAAATATCAGCAAGCAGATGGCAACAGAGTGCAGTTGCATGGCAAGGGGAAGGGTGCAGAGGAGGATCCATCTGCCTTCAGCTGGCATCGCACGTGTACTTGGCAAGCAGGGTGGTCACCTGCAGTATGGGTGCACATGCCATCTTCTCAGCTGGAGCAGAAGCAAGCCAGCTAAAAGTGCTGCAGGAAAACAGTCCACAGCAACCGTGTAGCCACTCACGTCTGCCCCCGGTGGCGCCTGCTGCCAGTCGATGTACTGGCGGAACGTGAGAGCCCAGGTGTTGGGCTGCTTAAAGGCCCACTGCAGGAATTTGACCACCTGTTGGCGCGTCGCACTGCAAACAGGCGTGGGCAGACGTGCGTTGGTTGCTGATGTGACGCAACAACAACATCTCTTGCAGACAGTTCTTCTCTCTGCCTACCTGGCCGTGAGATACGGCTCGTGCACGGCGACAGGGACAGGCATGCCGGTGCCACGCTTCCTTTCAAAATCCGCCTGCAAACGCTGCAGCACCGTCATGTTGATCGCCGGCGTCGGGTCCACCCGCCTCCCCACCTCGGGGCCCTCGCCAGGCAGCGTGAAGGCTGGTACCTCCCTGCACCGGGCACAGATGTGGCAGGCGGCTGGGAGAGAGGACATGCGTGTAGGCCGGGCCAGGCAGGGCAGGGCGGGGCATTTTACTTTGCCAAACATGGAGTGAAGCAGTGCGGCTCGCCACTCACCATATGCTCAGTGAGCTCCAGTTGCCGCAGAAGCTGCCCGAGCAGTACGAGTAGGGCCAGGGGATCGGAGCGGACAGGATGTGGCCTGGCTGGGTCCAATTCTTCCCCGTCAAGCTGCTGTCCCACAGGAAGCCAAGATCTTGCAGCACGGTGCCCAGGACCTCAGAGAACGTGAAGTATGGAGCCCGGAATCCCACCACATCTCTGCACCAAGCGTGCTGGGGTGGGGTTGGGGATTGGGAGATGCCGAGCAGGGTTGGCACATGCGGCATTCCATGGGCCCCCCAGGAAGCGTGTGGAATCAGTGCCACTTGTCTTTGGCGGCACACACATTACAGGCGCTCGCACCTGGCGGGTATGCTGCAATTGCGGGTGAGCCAATCCCGCTGGCCGCCCGCTTCCCGCCACCAGTCAGAGTAGGTGAAATTGCCGCCTCTGCGGATCACGCCACAGAGCAACAGCAGATTCAAGCAGGCTTGAGGCATGGCACCCTGGGCTGCAACGCAATGCACATGCAGGTAGGCGATGCAGGCACGCAGGTGCGCGCCGTGCCAGCGGCACTCACGCCTTGCTGTGTGTCATGGTATGAGTGGCAAGCTCATGCCCCCGTCTATGCGCCGTGCGCGCCGTGCCACAGTCGCTGGTTTTCCTGCCATGCCCACAGCAGGAAGAGAACCTGCAGTAGGGCAGGGAGAGCCAGTGCGCGGGGTGTACGGGTGTGCAGCTGTCGCAACCTGATGTGCGCCGGCCAGTAGCTACGTCTGTCTCAGCTCACCACGTCGCTGGAATTCGGCACCCATTGGGGTTGCGGGCCCCCGACGCCATGATCGTTTTTGTGTAAGCTACCTTCCATGTGGAGGCAGCAACGTTGTCATCGATGGACAGGCTGCAACACAAGGCAAGGGGCCCGGGGGCATGAGCTCAGGCGGCGGCAAGGCGGCAGTGAACCTCATGCGCCTGTTTACTTCCGGGGAGAGGCCGCTGCCATGTTCAATAGAGTTTCATGGGATAGGAAGCTCTTCACCAAACGCTTGAACACAGATGATCTAGTTTTGCACATGTGTGTGTGATTGGCCTCACAGGATGATGTTGGGCTTGGTTTTATGACCACTCCCTTCGATGCCATCAGAGGGTCTGATACACGCAATCAGCAGCCATGCCGCTGCGAGCGCGCCGGCGACGCGCATAGGCCGGGGCAGGCCCCAGCGGCGAGCTTGCTGCGCCACCAGGATCGCTGATGAGCGTCGGTACCCCTCTGGATGCAACGGTGGGAGAAGGACTTCTGTAGAGGCAGAACCATGGAGGGCCGAAGTTCCGCCGCCAGCAGGGCACGTCGCGCAAGTCGGCATGCCATGCACCCGCTTTTGGCATGCCAAATGGCGCCCCCAGTGTTGCTTGATGGCAGAAAGCAGGCAGTGTTATCGGTAGGCTCAAGAAAATAATGAGGAGCCCACCCCACTCGGCCTCAAAAGTTGCTCAACCGCCACCCATTGCAAGCAGGGCGCGGCGCCGCAACTGCCCGACTACTTTACAGTTGAGTTCAGACATTCTAGTGGCATACATGCCACTAGATCGTCCTCTGCACGCAGATGTCCACGATATCACTGCATTTCCAGCAGGGCGCCCAGGCGCGCCACGATGACCCCAAACGTGGGCCGCTGCTGGGGCGCCGCCGCCCAACACTCCCTGCAGGCCCAGCGAAGCAGGTTGCCTTGCTGTCGAGCCTTGCACATGTCCCGGCAGAGCAGGCCACATGGGCACCATGACGTGGTGGGCCGCCGCCTGTACTGGCAGCTCATGCACATGGCAACACAGGCACCGGCGCATCACCCTCACCTCATCAGCGCACAGTAACCATCCAGCTCGAGCGGCTGCGGCAGACCCGGCCCCGGCAGCGCTTCTGCCGCAGGCAGCTGAGGCCGCCCGCCCTCCAGCACAAACCGTCGCACCTGCCGTGGGCGGCAGGGAGGAGAGGTTGGGGTCGGGGCAGGCACAGGAACGGGCGCAGCAGCGATTCCATGCAAGCGGGGCACACCCCAAGCTAAACGCAGGGCTCTCACCTGGTAGGGTGACCGCGCGTCCCAGGGCAGGCGCCAGGCCAGCAGCTCCCAGAGCACCAGTCCAAAGGAGTAGACATCAGAGGCCGCCGTGGCAGGCTGCCCCGTCAACACCTCGGGCGCGAGCCAGATGGGATTGGTGGCCGCCTCGTGGGCAGCTGTGGCCCCCTCTGCAGCCTGGCTCTTCAGGATCTCGCTCAGGTTGACGTCGCACACCTTCACATGCCAGTGCTCGTCCACCTGCAGCCGCACGAGGGGGCAGAGAGAAAGCCGTGGGGGCGACAAAAATGGAGATCCCAGCCGGGGAGGCAACTTTGGAGAGGCAAGGCGTGAGGTCGCAGGCCAGCATGCGACACGGCTGGACAGACGCAAGGGGTAGAGGCAGGCAGGCAGGCGGGCAGGCGGGCAGGGATGGATGCTGCGTTTGCCCGTCGCACCAGCAGGTTGGGGCTCTTGACGTCACGGTGGATGATGTCGCGACAGTGCAGGTAGAGCAGCCCGCGGGCGGCATCAAAAGCCTGCAGGGGCAGGGTAGTGTGGGAGGATCTACAGCGGCTGTGGGAGCTGTAACCCCAGCTTGCCCGACAGCGCAGCAGCAGCCGCAGCAGCGCCGCCGCCCGTGCCGGACGCACCATGCCGAGCCGCCGCTGCCACGTCAGCTCCGCAGCAAAGTCGGGCTGCCGGTTGGCGAGCCGCAGCACATCGTACAGCGACCCTCTGCTGCAGAACTCTGCACGGGTGCGGCAGCGACGGGGAGCAGGTGATCGGAAGGCCAACAAGCAGGGAACCAGACAGGCAGGCGCATCCGGCATGCGCTGCCAAGAGGGCCGGCTGGCTGCCTGGCTGCCCCACAGGCACGCCAGCCTCGGCTTACCTGTGAGTATGCAGGGCGGCAGCATGCACAAGCCCAGGAAGCTGACGAGGTTTGGGTGGCGGATGCGGGCCATCACTGCCGCCTCCTCCTGCAGCTGCCGCATCACCGCCTCGGGCAGCTCAAGGCTCTGCAGCGAGTCGATGCCGTCTGCGCAGGCAGCGCAGGCTCAGGGCGGGCCAACAGCGGTCAGCACAGGCAGCAACAAGAGCAGCAGGAATAGGCACAGGCTGGCGCAGCCAGCAACCAGCAGCCCCACCTGATCGTATCAGCACTTTGACCGCGACAGGCGTTGCATTCCACAGGCCCAAGTACACCTTGCCGAAGCTGCCCCGCCCGATCAGTCCCTGCATCCTGATGGTGTCCCACCGCACCGCCCAGTGCGCCATGTCCTGCGACAGCGGGCTGCCCGGCGCGCCGCTGCTGCTGGCCAGGCTGTCCCAGCTGCCGGGGCTGGCGCCGCCCCCCTGCTGCTGCCGCAGCGAGGACGGCACCGTGGAGAGCTGGGAGAGGAAAGGGTCGGTTTCTAGAGAGCTGATGCTGCAGCAGCAGGGCAGGCACCCCAGGTGGGCAATCGTGGGAGGGCGGAGCCAGGAGCGGGAGGGCAAATCGATTCAGCGGTGCGAAGGACAAAGGGGCCAGCGGCTCTCAGCGAACCTTGCCGCCTGCCCTGCCCACTGAGCACAGCATTCCCGCCAGCCGCACCTGGGGGCCAGCGAGGTTGGGTTGAGCGGCGTGCGCGGCGAGGTGCGGGAGCCGGCCTGCGCCGAGGTGGAGCCGCCGGCGCCAGCGGTGGTGACGTAGCTGTCTGCGACCCAGCTGCTGGCGCCCTCGCTAGGCTGCTCCCGCGTGGCGAGCAGGTACAGGGAGGAGGGGTCGGAAGGGGGCGCCAGAGGCGAGTGAGGCGAGCCTCCAGAGTCTTTGTGCACCACAACCGGGGTGCACAGCCCATCCTCCTTGCCGCAAACAGACGCATCATCGTCCCCGCCGCCGCCGCCACGCAGCTGCGCATGGCTCCGCTTGCGCCGCCACACCATCAAGACCGCCGCAAAAGCCACTGCATCAAAGAACGGGAGGGGGCAGCAGCAAGTGTGTGCGCGCGCGGTGCCAGCCGTGCTGACCGGTCTGCTGCTGCTCCGTGAGCTTTAGCGGCTGTGGAACACAGAGCGAGTGGCTGCATGGCTCGCCTACTGCCAGCACGGCGCCCACAGTAGCGCCAGCAATAATGGCCGCGCTATCGCTCCCGCTGATGGCTACGGGAGCAGGCGGGGGTGTGGAGGGGTTAGGCGTCGGCGCCGGCTCGGAAGAGAGAGGTGGGGGCGACGGTTGCGGGGAGGGAGGTGCAGGCGACGGTTGCGGGGAGGAAGGTGCGGGCGGCGGTTGCAGGGAGGGAGAAGCGCTGGGCATGACGGGCCCGGGTGGCGCGGGTGGCGGAGGCTCCAGGAAGGCGCCACGGATTGTCACGGGATAAAAGCGGTCACATTGCGGTGTCGGCTGCAGCAGCGGCAGCAAGGGGAAAGCAGCAGCTGTGGCAGATGAACCTTTCAGCGAACTGTGTGCCAATGTGTCCACTCAAGGGCGTGGCAGTGGCAGGCACACCACCGCGATGCCTGGCTGCATCTTCAGGAGGCCGGCGCACTCCTTGCCGCCCGGGTCGTTGCTGGTGCGGTTCCAGGGGCAGTCAACCAGATCAAGCTTCCAGGGGTCAGCAGGTGCAATAGGGAGGAAGCATGTGGACACATACAGCAGAGTCCTGGTCCTGCGCACGTGGAAAGCAGGGCCGGGTTGAGACGCTGCCCACCAGCCGGCAATCCGGAGCCAAACCAAACGCGAGCGACAGCCGGCGGAGGGCGGGACCATCCATCAGCCGGCTGCAACAGCGGCACGCCACCCGCCTGCGCCTTGCCCTGCCGGCAGCGCCAGGCGCGGCGCTCACTGTGGATCGCAAGCCAGCCAGGCCTTCTTGCCGCAGATGGCCTGTAGTGAACAGCAGCACGTCTCTGTCCACGTAAGGCCGCACCTCCAGCGTGATGCCCGCCAGCGCCACCGGGTTCTGCAGGCGCAGCACAGGTAGAGCACAGGTACAGCGCAGGTGCAGCACAGGGATCCTCTTGCGACCAAGACGACCAGCATGAGATCCCATTGGGGGAGCAGCACCAAGGGAGCTGGGCCGACGGTTGGTGCAGCGCATGGACAGTCGCACTCACGTTTGCATTGTAAATGTGAAAGGCGTTGATTACAGCCTAAAAAAACTGCTTGATGGTCAGCCCGCTACAACGGCCCTGCACAGGCAGTGGTGGTGCCACCAGCAAACAGGATGAGCCCAGTGTGCACCCAGAGTTGGCAGCGGTGCCTGTAAGCCCCCCCCTTGTTTTAAGAAAGTAATCGTTTAATAAAGCCTGTACCTGCACATCCCACAGGTCCATCCACAGCTCCTCATCAGGGCCTGCAGCATGCAGGAGCGGATCGCACCAGCTTCAAAGCAGCTGGAGTCGGCAGATGGCGGCACGGCAATGCGCCACACGCAAGGCCTGTGAAGAACCAAGACGCACCTTCACTGTTGTAATACACGCAGCTCAATTCCTCCTTCGCAGCAGCAGGGATCTGGCTGGCGTTGAACACCGGCCCCGGGCAAGGGCCTTGCTCGGCTGGGTCATCAGTATCAATGTTGGTGGGAACCAGCTCGTACACCGAGAATGCTCCACTGCACGCAGGAGCGCACGAGAGAGGGCATGCATTGTTTGTTGAGTATCCGCTGGCGGCAAGGCCACTGCTGCGCAGCTGACACCCCGCGGCAAGGGGATGAGGCAAAGCATCTGGCACGCAATTCAGCCAGTGGATGACTCACAAAGAACTTTGCAAGCACGACGTGCCGTTCGTTGCACACGATGAGGAAGGCCAATCCCTGCAGGACGGCATCAACGGCAGCGGGCAATTTAGGATCGCTCTGCGATCAGGCTGCGAGTTGGACTCGGCCAGTCTTACTGTCTGAGGACCATCAGGTCATATGATGCCTGCGTTTCCTGGCCGAGGGCACCAATAATGCTGAACAGCAGCGCAGCCAGAAGGCGTCGTTGCGGCGCCGCCGCTTGGGGCATGGTGCACTCCAAGGCAACGGGCACGTCGCTGGTCACATGCGCATCCTCGATGCCATGGTCTGACTGGAGCAGCCAGGGGCGCTCCGCAACACAGCGGGGCGGAGTGCGGCAGGAACACCACACCCTGGTGGGAAGTGCGGGAGTGGAGGACGCACTTAATGATCCTGATGTGACCAAAGCCGTCAGGAGGTCATACCTCCGTTGCTCCATGCCGACGCTGACCTGTCCAGTGCGCGCGGCGCGCAGGCACAGCGGGCACGGCGGAAAGCCTTTCTGCCTCGACTCAATTGGTGTCTAGCTACAACTATGAAGATTATTAGGATCCAGCATCGGTTGTGACAGCACCGGTTTCGTGATTGGGCCACTATGTGTCGCATGTCTCTCCACCCTCCCGTGCTGCTGCAGGCCACCGTGTGCAGCAGGTGCCGCGGCCGTGCAGAACAAGCGGCGACAGCCCTGCCCGCCACCACCACCACCATCTACACGAGGGGCAAGGACGGAGAGGGTGCCTTCGCCGGCAGCTGCATTACTGTGACGCTGGCCCCTGCCAAGCGCTGGCTGCCGCGTCAGAGGGCGGTAGCGCCGCCGGCGGGCGTGTCGCCGCCTGCGGGCGTGTTGCAGGTTGCCAGAGGCGATCTTCAATCTTGTCAAACCGCTGGTACATCTCTGTCTTCATGTCCTTCATTTCCTTGTAGAGCAGCCCCGGGGGCACTGGCCACAGCGGCGCCATAATGCCTTGACGCTATGCGTCTGCGGCCTAAACCACCACCACCACCAACAACAACCGCCAGCCACCGCCTCCGCCCGCGGGTATGGCAGGCAGTGGGCGCATGCTTTTGCCAGTCTTGCCCGCCAAAATGCAGGCCGCAACAAGGTTTCCCAGCTGAACCAGGCCACTTTTCCTTTCCCACAGAAGAGGCCTTCTCCATTGTTTGCCAGCTTGTGGATGCTGCGCAGACGAACCTAGCAGCGCTCTGCCGCGTTCGCCGCATACCGCCAGCTCCAACTGCCTGACAGCCATGCCACATCCGTGCTTCTTGATGCCAGCCATCGAGGTGCGGCCGCTGGCGCGCACCAGAGTTTGGAAACAACTCAAAAGATTTCACCAAAAGAGTTTAGTGTTTCCTGCACACCACCACTTTTCCCTTTTCCTGGCACACCCCGATCGGTACAGCAATATGCAGGCCCTGTGCTGCAACGGCAAGTGCTCGGCAGGCCGTCCCCTGCGGTGCTGCCCTCCAGCCCGCGGCGCCTCCACCCGAGCGCCCCGCCTTGGCAAGCAGCTGACAGGTGGGGTGCTCCTGCAGCGCGGAACAGTCGAAGTGGACCCCACTCTTTCCTGTTTCGCCAACATCGTCTCAACCCCTCCCGCTCCTGCAGGCCACCGTGTGCAGCAGGTGCCGCGCCCGTGCAGCCCAAGCGGCGACAGCCCTGGCGGCCCTGGCGGACCGCCACCACCGCCACCATCTGACACGAGCGGCAAGGACGGAGGGGGTGGCGGCGCCGGCAGCAGCATCGCTGTGACGCTGGCCCCTGCCAAGCGCTGGCTCTACGACCACGCTGTAGACGGCGTGGTCGCCATCAGCCTCGCGCTCCTCTACAAGGAAATAAAAGATCTGAAGGCGGACATTAAGGCGGACATCAAGGACACGAAGGCGGACATTATGGACACAAAGGCAGAGCTGAACCACCGGTTTGACAAGATTGAAGACCGGCTCTGGCAGCTGGCAACCTGCAACACGCCCGGCGGTGGCGACACGCCCGCTGCCGGCCGTACCGCCCCCTGACGCGGCGGCGCACTGCCTGCGGCGGCCCCAGCCTGCTGGCGGAACGCTGGACGTCGGCCCCCAAGATGAATGAACTTAACCACCCTTCTATTCTTTCCTTGTGCACTGCACTGTAGCAAGCCAACTTGCTGCCCTTCTCTTCCCCTTTCCTTTCTCCTGCTTCCCCTGCCCACAAATCCTTTTCTTATTCCCATCAGCAATCCTCGGTACCTGTCCCGCGCTCGGTTTCTTTCCTCAACTTTTTCCAAACCAGCTTACTTTCTTCTTTTCTGGTCAGCAATCTGCTGCCCCAATCTTCCCCTCTGCTTGTGTTTATACCTGCCATGCACCCTGTTTTTCCTCCCTGCTCTCCTACCCCTTAACACAACTTTTGTTTGCACCTCCTGATCAGCGCAAACCATTCATCTGCCACCCCTCTCTTCCATTTGGTTGCGTTTGTTACCTGTGTTACTCTTGTTTTGCTTTCCTGCTTCCCTGCCCCTTTTCCACGATTTCATTTTGTGCTGCTGCCCAATCCCTCTTTGCAAGCGCGCCCATCCTTGCACATGCACTCACAGGCAAGAGCACACAGCTGCACAGGCAGCGCTGCTGGGCAACGGCGATGAGCAAGGGGCTTGTGCACTGCAGGGAGGCTATGTGAGGGGCAGGCATCCTAGGGGAGGGCAGGTGTTAACTGGTGACTCAAAGGGTAACACCCTGCAGCAGGGAACAGGCAGGCGACCCAAATGCATCAGATCACTGGTCCAAGACAGAAATGTGGCGGCATGCGCCCCTGCTTTCTGGCCAAATGCGGGACACCCTCACCCACAGGCCGTCACCCACCTGGCAGCACCAGGCGGTTGTGGAAGGATTGCTGTTGCGATCAGGCTGCGAGCGCTGGACTCGGCCAGTCTTACTGTCAGAGGACCATCAGGTCATATGATGCGTTCGTGTTCTGGCCGAGGGCGCCAAGAATGCTGAACACAGCGCATCAAGCAGCCATGGGATGTGACGATTCACACTGGGGCAGCTCATGGAACAGTATGCTGGTCCCGCCGGTGCTGCAGCACCGCATTCGCCTGGCCTCATTTCCCTCAACTGGGACGCTTGCCGTGGCTCCACGATCGTGAACACTCTTACAAACCGGGAGCGTGAGTGGAAAGGTACACAGGGCATCATGGACAAATCAACAAGGAGATCGGCAAGTGAGCGGTCAGCGAATCATGAGGCTGGCGGCCAATGTGACGCCTGAATAGAATGCATCGAAGCAGCCCGCCGCAAATGTGCAGCAGGGGTGCGCGCTGTCAGGCTTGGATAATTTGATAAGCAAACAAAAACAAGAGTCGATGTGCCGGCTGCTGCCCAATGAGGCATTGCGTGGAGGCAGCGGAGGTCACACCATCCGCCTCAGCCGGCGCCCCAGGCTGGGGCTCAGGGCATTGTCGGTATCATCGCTGCCCTTGGCCTCCGGAACAGGTGCGGCGGTGGGAGGCTCGGCAGCGCCGACGATGCCCTCGTTGGCAGTGGGGGCAGGGGCGCCGGCCACAGCGCTGCCCTCCAAATAGAACGCGCCAGCCTTGTCGGTGGTAGGCAGGTTGACAGCTGCATGGGTGGCCAGGGAAGCACAGATACATCAACAGTGCTGGACCCTGGTGCCCTGTGTGCTGCCATGTCATTCACCAGGTGAGCTAGCTATGCCTACCGCTCAGGTCTGCCTTCACGCCAGGCACCTTGCACTTCACCCACTCGTCAAACTGGTCCAAAGGCACCGGGTCCTGCGGGCACACAAGGATGGCCACAGGAAGCAAGACAGGCTGTGGGCACAGCAGCTGACAGCGTTGCAGGCGGCTGCAGCTGAGCAGTAGGAGCCTGTGAGCCCCTCATGCCTTGCTGCCATCTACAGCAGCCCGCCAGCAGCAGCTACATGCTGCATCCGCTGCCTAGACCACCGCCACCACCAGCCGCCGCCAGCCACCGCCTCCGCACGCAGGCGGCTGAGCCTGGCAGCCACCCGCCGACCCAACCCGGCCCCGCCCACCTGCATCCACCGCACAAAGTCGCTGTATGTGATGAACCGCACTTCCGGCTTGGCCATTGCATAATCTATGAAGTCGGCCAGGGCCAGCCCATTCTCAGAAGGGGCCCGCACACAGAAGATGCACTTGGGGTCGTCAGCGGGTGGGTCCTCGGGCTTCTCGGACAGCCTGCGGCGTGTCGGGTGAGTGGGCGTGTTCAGAGGATAAGGGGGTCAGAGAGGTGCCATGCGCCGATTGGTGGCCCCATGGCAGCAGCCGAGTGTAGCGCGCAGAGCACGGCGTGGCACGGGCACTTGAATCGAGTTGCATAAGCACTCAAAAGGTGCACAGCGCATTTGGCATGGTGATGCGGCACACAGCCTGAGGCTCACCACTCGTAGAATGTGTTGATGGCCAGCGGGGTGCGGCCCGCCTCCAGCCGCTGGTCGAGCTGGCTCTTCAGCATCGCCTCCATGTCGGGGATCTCCGGCATGCCATCCAGCTCGGTGTTTCCATAGTCTGAAACCAGGGCGCCCAGCATGGTCAGCTCTTCTTGGAGCAAGGGCAGCAAGAACGAGCCACACAAAACACACCACCGCCCAGCAACACCGCCTCACCACTGCCGCCATACAGCTTGTCGCCGTCCTGCAGGAAGTAGAGCGGCACCTCCCACAGCCCGGGATACTTCTCGGCGGCGGTGCACTTGCCGACCTCGTCGCCCCAGAAGTTGCACTCCTGCGCCACGGTACCAGCAGGTTGGAAAGCGTGTTGAGTGGGCAGGGTCGTGCGGGGCACAGCGTGCGGTGCCCCGGGCGGTGCGCAACGGAGGCAGCTGCGAGCAGGTCAGTCTGCAGAGGAGGTGGGCCGCTGAGCCACGCAGCGCGGCATCGCCCCGGGCCACGGCACAGAGGTACAGCAGTAGCGCAGCGCCAAACCGGTAGAGCAATACCTGTGGAATGCCATAGTCCATGGTGTAGGGCCAGAGCATCTTGCCCACTGACGGCGAGGTTGGGCTGGTGGAGTAGTAGCGCTCGGGCAAAGTAGAGTCGTACAACCACCCATTCTTCTCCAGGGCCTGCCCAGCGCCGGCGCACGTGCAGCTGATGTCAAATGCATGCAAGTCAGGTCGCCAAAATCTCGCAGGCAGCATGGCACGGTTGCGGCAGCCTTTACAAGCGGAATACCAGCCAGCCTGTCTGCCAACAACCCGCCTTGTCCCACTCCGGCCCCTTGCCGCCAGTTCCTCCAAACAGAGAAGAAGGGCCCCTCTCACCTCGCGGACTGGCGGATTGTTGTTATAGCCCTGGGCCCTAAAGCCAACCATGTCGTGCAGTGGCAGCTTGCACGTCTGGTTCCACCATCTGAATTGCAACCCGGGGTGTCATGCGAAGGGCATGGCGGGGAGGTGGGTGGGCAGGCGGGCAGGCAAGCAGTGGGGCAACACACCAGGCTGGTCCAGGCTGCCAGGAGTCGCTGCCTGGGCGCAGAACTCGTGGCGCTTGCCCTTTCTTTCAGCTGCCTGCAACTGGGCTGCCACTGCCCAGTCACCGCCCCACATCCGCCAGCCCAGCCACCAGTCCACCTCCATGCCATGAAAACCCAGCCCAACCCGACCCAACCCTCCAAGCTCACTCGCGGCTCATGGCAATCTCCCGCTCCACACTGGGCTCGCCGGTCACTGGGTCGCGGGAGTCGTAGTTGGGGTTGGGGTCGGTGGCGGTGAAGGGGTCCGTGGGGGCAAACCGGTTGGCCTGCGTCCACGACGGGACAGGGAGGGAGCGGGCCGAAAGGTGTCAAGCCCGTGAGGAGGGAGGCCCCCAACCTTTGCAACAAAACGGCAACAGGTAGGTGGCGAGCTGCTGCAAGTTGCCCCCAGCAGCAACGGCGCTGCAACCAGGCGGCAGCACCGGCGCACCTGCATCGCCACCTCGTCGCCGCGCGCTATAGCCGCCACCCCGTTCTCGCAATCTGTGGCACGGCAGCGAGGGCGGCAGCACGTGAGTGTGCGTGCACCAGCAAAGGGCTGTGCCGGCCACAGTCAATCGACGTGAGCTTGCCATACCCTCTTCGCATGTGTTAAGCTGCACTGGCCATCGTTAGCCCATCACCTCCCCGACCCAAATGCACAAAAACATGCACATGAGCATGCTGCGCCGCACGCACTGGAGTGGTAGCGCATGGCGAACCAGGTGACGGGCACGGGGCAGCCGTTGCCCTGCGTCTTGTTGCCAATCAGCTTCATCATAAGGTCGTAAGGCAGGCCATCCAGGGCGTTGTCGTGGGAGATCTGCAGGAGGGGAGGGAAGCAAGCGGCATGTGCATCGATCAGCGCCTTTCCCCGGGGGCACAGGACCCGCCACCGCAGCTGCTTCGCCGCCCTGCCTGCTCACCAGCACAAACTGGGGGATCTGGTCTGCCGTGAGGTTGCCGGGCGGGCTGTTGGCGGGGCAGAGGCACCCGGGCAGCTTGCAGGCGGCAGTGTCGCAGCCCGCATACGTCTCTGTGGTGATTAAATCACCTGCACGTCATGAGCCAAAAGCGTGTCGGGGTGGCAATGCTAGCCGCCACATCGAGGTTGCGGGGGCAGCAAATTGGTGCCTGATAGAAGGTTGCAAGCAAGCTCAGGCAAATCCATGAGGTGGCCAGAGGGCTGCTGCCACCGCCGCCGCTGCCACCGCCGCCGCCACCTGCCACCCCGGGCAGGCGCAATCACGGCGCTCACTGATCCAGCGTTGCTCACCAAGGGTCCCAGAGAGGCATCCCAGCAGGAGGAGCAACAGGGTGCAGCCCTGCCTCCGCATGGCACCTTCCTCCAAACTGGTCACACCTCCGGCAGGCCGCTACACAGACTCCCACAGCGGCGAGAAGCGAAGATCAGAGCGGCAATAGGCTGGCGATGCGGGTTGTAATGCAGATGCCAACGCGGCGCAAGTTTTTGCGCCCACACTCATGCGACCCACAGCAATGCACCCAGTGCCCCCGCATCCTGGGGCCCTATGGACGACCATGCGGCAATAGGAAGGGGGATCGCCCTACTGCGCTAGCCGGCCCCCAGGGCGGCACTAGTGGCGGCAGGGCCCTGCCGCCGCTCCAGCTCAAAGACCACTGGCCGCGCACACCCTTCTCCCTGCGCGCTCCTCCAGTCCACATGGCAGGCACCACCCCAGTTGCTGCCTCCCAAGCCCCCCCCCCCCCCCTCCAGCAGGTCCCGACCTTAATTTCCTCAATGCTGCCCACAGCCACGCCTCCCCATCCCCCACCCACCTTCCCCGCCCCTTTCCTGCTCGCTCACGATGTCTGTCAGTTGGTGCTTTGCAGTGAAAATAGAATTGAATGCTTGAAACGCTCCACAAAACGGCAGCTACCCCCGGGCCTGCAAAATTGTCGCGCAGCGCTCGAAAAACACCCGCATCAGTGGGCGGGCACCAAAAAGCGCTGGCGGCCCAGGCCGCCGGGGCGGCATGCAAATCAGGGCATCGGGAAGCAGAACCAAATGAGCACACAGGTCGCTAGGAAGCAATATACGTATAAGGACATTAATGGGCATGCAGACGAGCAGAAAGATGGGTAACCGGAGAGGGATGCATTGAACGTAAGCTAGAAGAGAAAGAGACACAGAAGGGGCGCTAGAAGGCGAAAAGGTATTGCAAGGCTCTACAATGGTTTATGCACCTGTACATCGCTATGGTAAATATGAGAGGGGAAGCGCTTTGCCCCATTCTCATAGGCAAGGGGGGCTGCACAGGGGCCAGCCATTGGCCCTAGGCAGGCCTGTCCAAGATGTGGCAGGCAGGTGCAGGGCTGCTGCCAGGCTCAGCCGCCCACCACGCTAGTCCAGGGAATCAACAAAGCGCTGGACCGTCTCCACAAAGCGCTCGGGGCACTCTTCCTGCGGCATGTGCCCACACCCCTCGAACACAGCCAGCTGGAGGAGGGCAGGAGGGCAGGGGAGCAGCAGGCAGGGGCCAGGGCACGGTGAGGTCAAGACAGGTGGGCAGAACGATGGCATCAGCAACAACTGGCATGAGCAGCATGATCCTGCACGCAGCGCAGCAGCTTGCCTCTCCAGGAGGCAGCGGCCTCACCTCAGCGTTGGGCAGCAGAGCGGCCAGGCGGCGCGAGTTGGCGGCAGGCACCAGCACGTCGCTGCTGCCGTGCACGATGAGCACGCGGATGCCGCAGCGGCGCACCACCGCCGCCAGCCGCTCCGCCTGCGTCAGGTGGCCCTCGCCCTGCGGTGCAGGCAAGGCGCAAACACGAGCGCGTACGGAAACATGAAAGGGTGCAAAGGAAGCGGCGAGTCCTGTACGTTGCAGCTGTCAAGCAACGGACCCAGGACCAGTCATGTAAATTGCAGCACCACCAGAAGCAAGCCAAAAATGGGCCCACCTGCACCGCCTCGCGCAGCGAGCCCCAGAAGCCGGCCTTCTCGTCAAACCGCGCCGCCAGGAAGCGCAGGATGCCCTCTTCCCAGCCCCGCACCAGCTGCCCGCTACGGTATGCATCCACATAGGAGCTGGTCACCTTGCGGCCATCATACCAGGCAGATGCCAGGCCGCGCTCCCAGAACCTGCACCATTCGCGCCGGTGGCAGCCATGTGGTCAACCCACCCCCACACAGGTCGCCAACAAAAGGCAGCTGCAGGCAAGCAGCAGGGGTACGAAGGTCACAGGCTAAGCACCTCTGCCTGCACTGCCTCACCTGCGCGAGCGCACCAGGCGGCGCAGCAGCACCACCAGGAGCGGCGTGGCCACCGCCAGCAGCAGGCGCACCAGCAGCAGCAGCGTGGCTTTCGCCACGACCGCCGCCGCCCGCACCACCCGCTGGGCACGGCCCGCCACGCCGAGCTTGCGGCGGCGACCGCCGGTGGCGCCGCTGGTGCTGCTGGCACTGTCGCTGCGGCTCAGCAGCGGGCTGCTGGAGGAGGAGGAGGAGGAGGGCCAGCGCTGGATCTCCCCCGGAGCATCCTCCGCAGCCACAAGCTCTTCCACCACCGCCAAGCCTGCACCGCATGTTCCAAGCGGCCTCAGTCCCGGCAGCAGGCCGTGGTCAGTGCTTCTCGCTGCAACCGGGCATGCAGGGAACTGGGCAGGTGTACGCAAGCACTGCTGCGCCTCGGCAATGGGGGCATGCGCGCACCTGTGGCCATCGGGTCGCCAGCAGCCTCCTCGGGAGGCCCCAGCCAGAAGGCGACAATGGCAGGAGCCACCAGCACCAGGGCATCAACTCCCTCTGAGCAGCTGATCACGCCCTCTGCCGCCGCGGCCCCGCCCATGCTGTGCCCGATGAGCACGCGCTTGGGCCATGCGGCAGATGGCGCGGCAGGGCTGGGGCCCCCGGCAGCAAAGGAGTCGCCGGTGCAGTCGTCTGCACTGCCGGTGCTGTCCACACTGCCGGCACTGGCGCTCTTCTGTACGGGGTGCGAGCGCAGCTGCTCCTTCTGCTGCGGGGGAAGGGCAGCGGCAGGGCTGCTGGACGTGGTGCTGGCTGCGGAGTGCGACACAGCAGCCGCCTGCTGCGCGGCGCTCAGCTCCGCGTCTAGGATGCTGAGGGCGGTGTCGCCATTGAAGTGGAGGGTGTAGTAGCTTGGGGAGCGGGGCCTGCGGGCAGAGGTGTAATGGGCCAAGCAGAGGCAGCCGTCAGTTTGGATGCCTGATCGCTGCTATTCTCAGCTAGGAGCTCAGGAGTGGCGAGTGCCAGAGCGATGCAACCAAAGCAAGAGTTGCCCCGTCCAGGCGCCAGCCGCGCACCGCTGGCTCAGGCCAAAGCCGGGCATGTCGTGAGCGGTGACCACAGCGTGCAGAGCGTCGGCCATCTCCTGCTGCACAAAGCTCCAGCTGCAGCAGCCCAGGCAAAGAAAGACCAAACATCTGACGGCTGCCAGCGGGAGCACGGGAAGCCTGCAAGCACATATGAAACAATCAGGTTGCTCCCACCCTGCCACGGCAACCTCCCCTTGCCTGTAGCTGGATGCGCCAAAGCCGTGCAGGCAGTGCACCACGGCTGCCGGTGCTGAGGCGGCAGCCGCTTGCTGCTGCTGCTGCTGGGATCCGAGCATGCTGCCGTTGCCTCTGCCGCCAATGCCGGCTGGCCGGGACAGGCCCAGCGGTGCTCGGCGCTTGTAGTGCAGCTGGATCCCCTCAGCCATAAAGAAGCAGGAGTCTGAGGCAGCCAGCTCGCGCTCGCTGCGCTGCACAGCCTGCAGCAGAGAGGCAGAGGCAGCGCCGGGGGTGGGAGGGGCACGAGAACAGGAATGCAAGGGCAAGTTCTGGCAAGGGGGACGGGCGAGAGCGGCGCTGTCAAGGCTGCTGGCGTTTCCAACACCAGCCCGGTGCAGTTCCCTCCCTGGGCACCACAAGAACGGCGAGGCGTGCGGGAGGTGCAGGGGCAGTATGGCAGTACGATTCACCTTGTACCGCCTCTCCACCAGCCACATGTGGGTCCCCAAGACCAGTGCCCCATACAAAAGAGCCATGGCTGTGGCGTACAGAGGCTGCACCGAGGCAGGCGCCGTGGCGGCGTACACAGCTGCGGGGAGGGGTGGGAGGGTGGGTGAATGCGGGGCTTGCTAGACGCGCGGCTCTGCAGAAGCGGTGGCAAAGCCATGCAGGCAGGCAGAGGACAAGGAGACGGCCCTGGCGCGGGCGAGGCCCAGGCAGGGCAGAAGCAGGCAGCAGGGTCGTGCGCAGCACCTGCGCAGATGGCGGCAGGGCCCAGCAGGCTGGCTGCCTCCTCCGCCGCACTCAGCCGCGGCTGCCACTCCAGCGCCTCGGCCAGAGCCTTGGGGTTATCCTCGGACACGGGGCCCGACGGCGGCGGCACTGCAGCGGCGGAGAAGGCCTGCCAGGCGAGCAGGCGAGGGGCAGGGGTGTAGATCAGCACACGTTTCCTGCAGAGATCCTAGTCCTTCTTCAGAGTTTCCAAGGGTTCTTGTAAGCTCCTCACATCCTGTGCTGCTCCCTGCACAAGTGCAATGCGCAAGAATGCGCCTGGCCCGCTCACCTGGGCAAGCACTGCGCTGGCGGCGCGGTGCAGCTGCTGGGGCTGGATGCACGAGGGCCGCGCCATGCGAGCCGCCAGGGCAGCCGCGCCCCACATCTCGCTGGGCACTGGCAGGCCCAGGCGGCAGCCCCGGAAGCGCAGCGCCAGGCGGCGCTGGTGGCGGTGGCTGGCGGCGTGGCTGGCGCCGGCGGCAGGCGGCAGCGCGGTCGAAGCCTGGGCCAGCCTGTCGGCCGACCCCACTCGCTTCAGACTGGTCCCAAACATCTCGGCAGCGCGCCGCCACAGCGATGCCCTCGCCGTGGGCTGCCTACCCCGTGCCCACAATTTATCCGCAGCGCTTCAGGCTCTCCCGCCCTTCATAGTGCGGGCACACACGCCCCGGCACAGCTTTGTAGGTGTTAATGCTGTGTTAATGCTGTCGGGGCCGTGGTTTGCAAGATATATCTGAGCCTGATCCTGTGAGCTGGCAGTGACGAGGACTGCGTTCCTTGGAGCACTCCCAGCGCTCTGAGATCCAGGAGAATTCTTTGATCCATGTGCAGAAGAGGCAAGCGTTTACAGGCAGACACGCTTGCAAGACGAGGGCACAGGCACGAAATGTGATGACAAGCAAAAGGCGAGCGCAACGCAGACGTGGATTAAATCGAGCAGGGGTCGGCCACAAAGGGCGCACAGGGCAGGGCAGACGGGACAATTAAAAGGAAGGTTGGAAGATAAGGAGACGCAATCGCACCAGAAGAATTGCAGAGAGCACCAGACAACACAAGCGGTGTGGGGAGGGAGGGCAGGCAAGCAGCGAGACGACGCCTGCGGCTCCCTCCTGAGCATAAGGGAGAAGAGTTTTAGGGGGCCCATAGGCCGGGCCAAGATTCGTGTGTTCAAAAAATGGCTGGCAGCGGCAGATGGAGAAAAAAGCATGGCAAAGGCCACCGCTGGGAAAACCTGCTGACGCGGGATGCGTGTTTTGTTTTCGTAGTTTGTGTGCTGGGTGAAGGGGTGAGCAAGGGGCGCAAAAGTGCAGGCGCTACAGGAGATGGGGGGGGGGCTACACAATTAATATGCTCTACATTAGGGGGAGGGGGTATGGGAGTATGTTTTGCTGCATCAAAAATCGGGCGGGGGCTTGGTACGTGCGCAGTCAGGCAGGGCAGGTCGGGGGCACGCGCCCGGCGCCGCACAAAACAGCCACCGCCCGCGTATGTGCGCGCCGCATCGACTTGCGGCACGCGGCGGGCGGCAGCAGGCGGGTGACCAGGCTTCAATGGCTGACCAGAACAGGGACGCAGGCAGGGGTAAACTAGTAGGTGGGGAGGGGCGCTCGATCACACGCAAAAATGGGGCCCAGGGGGTGTCAGAAAACGGGGGGATGGGGGTGTCGGAAAAAGGGGGAAGGCGGAAAATGAGTCGGGGGCGGGCAGCAGGTGCACACCCGCCCCCGCATGAATTGGCAGCTGCGTTCCTGGGAGAGAACTACCAACATGGTAAGCTGGCAAGGCAGGCAGGGAAAACTGCCTTGCAAAAATGGGCTAGAGAAGGCACCCAAGTGGGTGAGTCGCCAGCACGGGGCGGGGCGACCCCCTGGCGATGGGCTCTGCCGCACACTCCTTGGCTTGGATGGAAAGGGTTGTCGGGTGGGCCACTGCCAAGCTAAGCCTGTAGGCCAGGCAGCACTCAGGCCTGCATGGCAGCCAGCACTGCGGGATCCAGCGAGGCGGCCGCCGGCTCCTGCTGGCGCCGCCGCAGGCGGGGGGCCCCCTCGTGGCGGCGACCCTGGTGGTGCTGCCGGTGGCCGTGGTGCTTGCCGTGGTGGTGCTGGCTGGCTGCGCCGCCGGCGTGCCGCTTGCCGCCGTGCG